TTACTATTTTGTATTTAAATTTAAAACTTATATTTTTGTTGAAAACGTTGAAAAAAAATGTATAAAATTCCTATAAATCTATTTTAGATGTTTGGTATATATTATTTTAATTATTAAATAATTTTTAGATTGATTAAAAATTTAAAATAAGAAAACATTTTTTAATGCTTAGACCTCGGCGATGCTCGTCTAGCATGAAGCTTGATCTCCACGCATTACACTTCTTAAAACACAACTAAATAGTATAGACCGAATATTAAACAAGAGAAACTAATTCAATCCTATTAATACATACCAAACATTCCCTGAAGGCACACAGAGGAAAACTGAAAAGAAGACGAAGAATAAAGAAACAAGAGTCGCTACACTTCTGAAAAACAAGATTTCTGATTGGACATCTTTTGAAATGTTTCAAAATAGTTTAACATGGGGGAAACAAATATTTTCTCTTGGCCTAATTTTCAAGGAGGGTAATACTCCAAATTTGAATGCTGTAATTTAACAACAAACGAAATAAATCCTGATTACACCTTCCTCCCATTAAAAAAAGAAAAGTATCTACTGTAAAGTACAAACCTAAAACAATTCAGCAACTGCTATCATACTAATATACCAGAGTGCCGGAATTCTTTGGTCAGGCAAAATCGGATATCAGTCAAACCACCAAAGTCAATTCTGTCTATCAATCTGTAAAAATATCAGTCAACTATATGATGAAGCAACATACATTGGTCTACACTAAAACTACAGGTACATGAACTCCTATGTCAAACAAAAACCCAAGGCTAGGCTCTTCGTCTTCAAAAAAAAGTAGCTGCTTCATTATTCAACTATTCAACCCCATGGCTGCCTGATTCTCCTCGTTGTTCAGAGTTTTGGCTGCATTTAAAAGCATGTCAACACCACCGTCTTTATCCAAACCCTCTTCACCCTTCAGCATTCCATCCAAGGCTCTCTTTTCAGATTTGTTTTGTGTATTCTCATACACTCCTTTTGCTCTGCGCAAACGCTGGATATCAGCATTACATTTTTTGCAAAACCACTTCCCCCTGGGGATACAAGTGCGAGGAGGCTGCATGCAATAGATGTGATATGCATGATCACAGCCATCACACAGAACAATCTTATCATCATCTCGATCTGTGAGGCAAGATCTACACAGACAAGAATGGCAATACCAGCACGGACCATAAGATTTCAACTGCTTACTAGTCAAGCATCTCACATGGAAAAACTTTTGAGAACAGAAGGAATGGCCACAAATTCTATAATCTTCATCATTTCTAACCTCGGCTCCACAAACCTTGCAGTTTTGAAACTCCCTTTCCAACTGAAGTTCATCGCCGACTAGCTCATTTGAACTATCCTCCAGTTCCTTACGTGCTTCCTCATCCACGAGGTCATCTTCTCCATCAGCATCAATCAGTGATCTGGAAGCATTCAGTCTCTGACAAGCTATGCAGTCATCGTGCGGAGATTCAATCCCCTTTGCCGAACAGTTGGTACAATACCAACTTCTGAGGGGAATTTCTTTAACGGCAGGTTCAATACAGGAGACGTGATACATTTCCTCACATGAATCGCACACTAGACCATTTCTTCCATCTGACTTCTCTCCACAACACCTGCAAGTGCGGACTTCAAAGATAGGACAGGCCTCTGTTTGCTCCGCTTTAGCATGCACGTCAGATTCTTGTGTAAGAAACTGCCATTGTCAGAAAATTACAAATATCAGATCCTTCCTAGAGATCTCAAACTGATTATGTGAATAGTCTTTACCACTGGACATTAGCTTCACTCATTAATACAACGATTCAAGATTGCTCATAATCTCCAAGACCATTTAATCTAGAGTGTTGAAAGAGTAATATATACAGGATGACATAACTGTACTACAAGAAATAGTTATGAAATAACAAATAATGTTTCTTTCCTTCATTATCTGATCATATATATGTTCATTACAGGGTAATCAGGATAAACATTAAAAATATGGCATACTTAAGGACTAAAATGAACCACAAGCATCAAAACATATCTAAACTCTTTGTAAGAACCAGCTGCCAACCAGACAATGGATCACAAAGGTGAGAAATTCTTATTATTCAACTAGATCTCGCAAATTGATTATTATAAGAACGGATGGAAAGTAAAGACAGAATTTACAGTCAAAACAATGTATAGCAACAGCTTCTCCACATGCGTTAAATTATTTTGTAATTTAGCATCAATATAAATCATATGATGCATACATGAGATGTCTGCGTGAAACTTCCGGCCTTCCTGCATTTTCATTTGCACAATGCAACAAATAAGGCCACAACATATTTAAAACAGGTCCATATATACTTGATTTGGATAATTAACAATCTTAATCCAGCTCATTCAACACCTTCTCACCCCATCTCCCACCCATTAAAAAGCATGAGAAGGGAAATAAGAGATTACCTCATGCCTGCAATCCTCAGGAATGTTGTGTCCAGAACTGCCCACCTAAGGATACCCAAAAAGGTAAGAAAAAAACATTTAGGCATAGAAGCATAAAACAAATCAATGAAGGACACCATAGACATAATCTGCAAGTCTAATCTACCTGTGCATGAAGAGAAGTGATTGATTTATCTGAAAGGCACTTTGAAAGGGTTGTCATATCAGTGCCAACCTTTTGGAGCTTCTTCCAAACCTACAAAAGAATGTTAGCACTTAAGGCTGAAGCGAGTATATAGAAACATAAAGCAACATCTTCCTTAACTTGATTGTACGAAATTCACACTCTGTTTTCCTTATAACACATCCATATTTGTGTAGGCGATCTGCATCCACAAGTTTCTCTAAGACTTTTTATCCAAATTTACACTGCCTAACTAGCCTGAAGTTTTCAGAAAATACAGGATACTCCTGCGTCCCCACAGGTGATCATGTTCAGATGTATGTGTCACAAGAAATTGAAACACAATAACCAGAAGAAGTGCACCTTTATGTGAACAAAACAATACTCTCAACTTGACTGGAATCGCCTAAGCCTTATCCTACACTTATTTGGAATAGACTAAATTGAACCTTCTATTCCCCTCGGCTTGATCAAGGGCCATCTTCGAAGTTACACCAGGAAGAGCTATATTTTTCATTACCATGTTTCATTAGGTCGACCTTTTCCTCTAAGTTTATAGACAATACAAATTTCAGTGCAGTCAGTAATCTTTGAAAGTAAATCATTTCAAACACATCACTAACAAAATAAATGTTTTTGGCACAGTACATTACCACGTACATGCACACAGATAACAAAGTAGACCCCTTGACACAGATTGGGTAACTTGACACAGATTGTTGTTACCCACAGCAAGTTATACATATCAGTTGTTCCCCAGACTTAAAGATCCCTGTATGGGGCAAGTTGAAACAAAAATGCCTATGCATCTATGAACATATATAAGTTGCCAATCAAGAGTATTTAAAGATAGTAACGATTAGGGCATCATAGGGAAGTGCAAAACATACCTGTTGAATGTCCGAATAGAAGAGCGCTGGTGAACTTTCATATGCACCCTCCTTCATCTTTGAGTTTATTAGACTCAAATCTAATAATTTGTCAACCTTCAATCCTTGAAAATTTTCGAGCAGTAGACTGCATAGTTGGGCAAATTTTTCTGACATAATGATATCGGAAAACATGCACCGACAGAGCTCTGTGCCAGTGCAATGATTCGATTCGTTAACTGATCTTCTTAATGTTTTACCTACACTGCCTAGAGCTGCATTTTGGACATCGTCACGTACAAACCCAGTCTGCAAGGAGCATTTGTTCCCATCTTTTAGATACAAAATAGAAATATAAGCATATAGAAAGACAAAAGAAGAGTGGTTCCTGATTCTTATGCACCAGATGCCGGATGGAATCCTAAAACTCTAATAGTATTAAGTACCTTAATAGTAGATCTGCTACCACTTCCCGGATGAAACAAAAGAGCATTTTGAATGCATTTCTTCAAACCACCTTCACTATCTAATGTCTGACATATTTGCTCCAGAACATAATTTCTCTGTTGCTTGAGGGAGCAATCATTGGAATTCATAAGAGCATCAGATACTTTCTGAGAACCACTAACTTGTGTATTAAAATTTGTGAATGGAACTGCATCCAATAATGGCTTCACTGACTGCAAAGATCAAATCAAGAAATCTTAGAGATAAACAGAAGGATACATGAAAATGAGAAATGCCAACAATGAAGTGACTGGAAAAAAATTTCCTTCACGAAGTAATGGTACAAATATCACTGAAGGAACTGCGACATCATCAAGTCCACACATAAACATTGATGTATCAAGACTTTAACCAAAAACTAATAAGATCATGGAATAGTTCATGTTCAAGTATGAAGTATCTTAAGGAATATAATGAATACCAAAGATAATCTCAAGAATTAAAGATGCAGTGACTGAAGCATTTTCTGACCATTGAACTGAATAATTCTATAATAAGCTAAATAACCAAGACATGTTTTTCCTTCAGCTTTCTGAGATCACCCTAGTTCTGTGAATCTTGTTTTACACAATGGCCTGGAGCATATAAAGGCACGACTACTACAGGAGAACTCAAATTGAAGATATGTATGCTAATAAAATTTGTATTAAATGATAGCAATATCATAGTTTATCCTAAATAAAGGGAGAAACAAAAGAAAGAGAATATATGGAAAGGTCATCATGAACAAAATTGGCAGGGATTGTTTCAAGCTGTTTCCTCGGAGAAGATATAAATATTTGTTCATGTCAAGAATCACCAAGAGAGCAATGTGATCATAGTTATAATCAAAATGTATATGATGAATTATGGTTCATGAACAACAGCAATAAGTATTAAAGGAAATGCAAAAAGAAAACATGAAGGTATGTAATATAAGATTGACCAGCTTAATATTTGAAAGCCATTAATTTTATTTGTTTTCTATCTCTGCAAATAAATGCACTAAACTCAAGAAATAATAAAAAAGGTCATCACACTGTGTGAGCACCACAACACATTGTAAGCACTATAATCCAATACCTTACTCATAGCTTCTAATACATAAGATATATTGAAAGGGCCAAAGAAATAACCTCACACAAAATACCTGCAACATTTAAAAAGCCATCTTTTGTTGCTATTCTTTCAGTGGTGACCTATTTCCATTTCATTCCCTTTTGAGACACTAAAACAATAGCCATTCAACAGAGTGGGACAGGTTGTTCACTACCTCACTCGAATATGTGATTTCCCCATCAGGATCAAATTCACAAAAAGCGCTGGCCCAGTGGACTGGCGGGTAATTTCCATCACATTAACAGTAGCACCCTAGATGTTGCCCCTGTTTGGCTTTCATTCCATCTTGCTGAAGTTTTACTTTTCAAGAAATGAGTGGTAGAAAAAGTGGGTAGTACTTGTGGTCCTATGAAATGTGAGTTAAAATTTGAAAAGCAATTTTCAGCAAAATGGAATGAAACTCAAACAGAGGCATTGAAGGGAATCCATAGCGAAGAACTTATCATTTATTTATTTTTTTGCACATATTACGTATATTGCTCCATTAAGGTTAAAATTATTTCTTCGATTTCGATAGAATCATTTCATTTATCCAGCCTCAATATGCATTCAACTATCTTACATCCTGGCATTTAATGATGATATCATTGAATTCATTTCTCACCTTCCTAAATAAAATCACCTGGGGAAGAGAAAATACACAGATCTTCAATGAACTTTACTTTCTCATTGTCATTTCTGATTTCCTGACTTCACAACATTTTTTTTTGATAAGTAACTTCACTTCACAACATTTTCCACATTCTATTTAATGTTAGTGCATTTTCAATTCATCCTTTCTCAGTGTTACTCAGTATTTTTTAAGAGAGCTCATTTCTAATCAAAAAGCATGCATCTTTTTTTGAAATAAGATTCTTTAATATCTAATCAAAAAGCATGCATCTTTTTTTGAAATAAGATTCTTTAATATGTAACTGTTTCCTATAATGAAAATTCTATCCAAGGTACTCCACAGTGCTCGCCTCCCCTTTATAGTAAATCTAAAAACCCTACCCTCATGATTTCTTTGTAGCCTGGAAAAACAAACTAGCTTAGCACATGAGGTTATCAGATAGCAAATATTCATGGACTTTCTCTAACTGTAAGTCTTTAGCTAACATTCCCAACATAAATGCCTCGAGATAAAGAAATAGTGGTGAGTAAAAACACACAAAGCTCAGTCCGTTTTCAGCAGAATATAAACCGAGAGAAATTAATGAAGCATATTGTTAAAAAATGTAACAAGTGAAATTTAATAAAAGAAATTGACACCTTTTCAGTAATTTGACTCACTGAATCTCCCAAAACGTTCCCACAATCTGTGAGTTTCACGCTCTTCCGCCTCTTGTATGTACGTAAAGAATCACCAGCCAACCTAGTGGAATTTGTACCATTATTTTCAACTTTTGCAGTGCCATTTGCACTAAGGTCAATATTCAACACCACTATTCCACTCCCATTTCCACTGCCATCTGCACATCCATTGCTTTCTTTCTCAGTATGAACCATGTCTTTCTTCAATTGAAGAAAAGACACAAAATCTACAAGTTTTGAAGCTCATAAACTAGGAAAGTCACAGCCACGTAATATCCAAGATTCTGCAAGTTCAAACAAATAAAACAAATTCATTTCTCTTATTAAATTATATGAGAACCAGAAACTTCAAAAACTAGTACAAGATTTCATATACAATTCAAAAAATTAAAGTACATTTGTAATTAAGAACATAAGAAAAACCCTCTACAATTGCACATTGATAAAAAAGAAATAGAAACATTTCCAGGTGAAACTCGGAAGCCAGGAAAAGATTAGAGTTTTCACAAACTTCAAACCCTTAAACCCAATAAATTAATTAAAACTAAACTTTAAAATATTTTTAAACAGTAAACTATCCAGTTCTGTTTCATGTACAAGGGAGAAAAAAAAATCTTTACAGAATTAACTATATAAACCGAAAATCCTTTCAGAATAAAGCAAATTTCAAGATTTCCAAGCCCTTAAAACCCAAAAAATAACAAAATCTATACGATGAATTTCACAGGAAAAAAATGACACAATTTTACTTTGTGCATATGATAAAATGCATACAAAACATGGTAAATGATAAATTAATATAAAGATAGGGCGACTTACACGAGTTTAGAGAGAGAAGGGGGTGAATTTGAGCAGTTGATTTTAAACCCTAGAGAGAGAGACTGTGTGTGAATGAGTGGTATTATCCGAGAGGGCTTTTTAAAATTTGAAAAATGCGAGGGCCTTTTGCATACTTGTTTATAGTTAGTTGTATTTTCTTTTTCCATTTTTTTCTCTCTTTTGTCAACAGTCAACCAACCATAACCCCATTGGCCTCTATTATTCTCTGGTAAATTATAATTTATTTTTCTTTCTTCTCTTATCAATCATACATTCTCTAATAAAATAATATTACACGTAAATTAAAAAAAATTCATTCTTCTTCTATACATTCTCAAAAAAAAATTATTATTTCTATCGTTATAATGTAAAATAATTGAGGTCAATCGAGCACTAAGCGGCATGTTTGAGCCCCATTATTTCAACAAAGAATGCATTTTTGAATAGTGATCGATAGAGAATGTGTGGTTAAAAAATAAGGTAAAATTTTGAATTTACATGTAATATTATTTTATTGAATAACGTGTAGTTGAAAATAATAGAAAGAAGAATATATTTTAAAAAAATGACGATCAAACAAAGACAAGAATGTCAATCTAAATATGTATATTTGCGACGACAACAGTGGCACTAGGAGGCATTATTCGACTTTCCCTTATTTTCACGTCTCTTCAAGATAGAATTTTGTTTCCAACAAAGTCGAGGTTTTAACTTAAATATGATTGTAAATTTCTACAAGGACCAATTGTACAAGGAAATTAAAACACAGGGGATCTATTCCTTTTCAAAAGTTGAAACCAAGCCCCAGTTTGACACCCATTTTTTATCTCATTCTCATTCTCATTTTTCTACGGTACTCATTTCTAACCACACATTCTTCAAATAAAACAATATTACACATAAACCCAAAAATTCTTCTTACTTTTTAACCACACATTCTTTACATCAATCACTATTCAAAAACTTATTCTTCAAAATAATGGGTGTCAAACGGGGGCCAAGTTGCTATGATCCCTAAAATTGGGGTATAAATTGTTCAATTTCCCCTATTTATTTTCAGTTCCTCTACAGTCAGAGCCTCTCCAATCTACTCCAATTTCAACATAAGTCGCGTGTTTTGGAAAATGTCCCAAAGGCAGCCCACACCGAATAGAAGGCACAAAAGGTGGAGAGAGAAATTATAAAGGAAAGGAAAAAAAATAATCATCACTCTGAAGAGAAAAAATGCGACGTAGCCTGGCGCACCGTGGCCGTGGGCCGCGATTTCCATCGGAATCCGACACAGACTTCAGCGACGAGGAGGGAGACGAAGACCGCGACGACGACGGATCCGTTGCGATGAGGGGAAAGATGAAATGCCTTTCGTGCAAGGAGGAGTACAGGGCACGTGATGCCGGCACGTGCAGGGAGTGCTACGAGGAGGCCGGCGAGACGGAGGAGGAGCTCAAGCGCGAGATCGAGGATCTCAAGGCCAAGGTCAATTTCCTCCGGGTATTCTCCGCTGGATCTGGTGGGCCCATCTCCGTTTCCAGGTCTAATACGTTGGCCTTCTCCGATGTTGTATTGATCGCCTCTGGTTCGACTGATTCTGCCGATTCTCAGTCCAGTTTTCCCTCCGTCCCTGCCCATCGGGCTGTCCTGGTATGATACTCATTTCACCATTTCCGTTTAAAAAAAAAAAAAATCGTCTTTTGGGTGGGTTTTTTTTTGATATTTTGATGGGAAATGGTGGAGGAACATTTCAATTTAATTTTTTTCTAGCTTTTAGTTTTAATGTAGCTCTACACCTGTACAAAGAATCAATCCTGACAGACAATGTTTTCTAAATTTATCTGCTGGAATTGTGAAGAAAGTTATGTAATAAAGATTCGAACTTCCGAGTATTGACAAATAAATGTGAAAGAAATGGGATTCTATGCTTTATTGAGTATTTCTGATATTTTCACCAAAAAGATAATAAATCGCCTCTGGTGAATTTATGTGCAAGCATGACTGAAATGTTTGTGCAAAAGTAGTTAAGTTCTACTGATACTCAAGTGAATATATGCGTGTTTGCTTTTGTATCTGAAGAAGCTACAACGTTCTGTTATAAGACATCGATGCATAAAATCCATCAGATTACTGTGGGAACTTTGAACTTTAAAAAATGTTTTTCTGCACTTCATCCAGCAAAGGTATCTTTCTAAGTTGGAAGTTCTGGTTCTTTAATATATTCAGGGGCGGGGGGGGTGGGGGGGGGGGGGGAGTCGGTTGTGTATTACAATTTTCCTTCTAAATATTTTATGCACTCAATAAATTGAAGGTCGATTGTGTATGATTTGATGCAACTATACTTTTTATGTCTTAATTGAAAATAATCATGCATTTTGACCACCTACCTTAATTCATTAAAAGTATTTAAGAAGTTTCTTTAAATAATTAGATGAAGCTATAAGAAATGAGGTGATGAAATTTCATGATGCATTATCTTCGTACATTAATTTATGTTCCTTTGTTTCTTTTCTCTATCGCAAAGTACCAACTTTTCTCATTTTAAAAGATAATGTTTCAAAAAAAAAATTCGGGGGCGCTGTCCTCGAACCCCCGTGGGCCCCCACCCCTTCAACTCTGGGACCCCCCTAATTTGAAGGGCTGGCTCCGCCTCTGAATATATTCTGTGGTTATTTACATGGATCACTGCATTAGTTGTTCAGAGAAAGACATTTTTAGGGACATCTCTAGATCAAAAGTACGTGCCTAGGATTTTTAGGAATCCCTGAAAAATAGCTTGACTTCGACATGAAATATGATAATATCTTTTACGTAGAACTTCTACATTTGGTTGAGATTGTAAAATGATTTATGCTGTTTAATCACGTCCTGTAACTTGGATTGTCTTGTAGAGTCCTCAGCTTTCTATTTTATGATTTTATCCCCTGAAATTTCAATTTATGCCAATATTCAAGTTACCTTTCAGCAGAAATTATAGCAAAATGAGACGTCATATAAATCGTAAGAACTAAATGATAGCCATCTCTATCTTTGTCAATTATTCGGAAACTGGATTCCAAGCATTGGAATTATAGGTAAGTGGACTAGGTGATATGAAAAAAATGATCTTGGAAGCGGTGAATTAATTTAGAACATGTTTGATGTAGAATTTTTGAGAATAGGCCTCGTGAAAAGTGATATTTTAGAGAATGTGGGGTTAGAAAGTAGGAAAAAGTTACGGCCCACATTCAAAATTATTTTTGGGAGAATGTAATTGATTAATAGTTTGGGGAAGAATATATTTTAAAAGAATCTGTCTCTAGCAGGGGCTTAATCTAGCTGACATGCTCAAAGTATTATAGAGTGAGATGATGCATGGCTGCAAATTCTTAAAGCCTTCTATAAATTCAGAAGTTTTATGATGATGTGATTTTTCCGATCATCATATGGTCATTGCATATCCTTGTATCATTATTTAAAGGGTGACTATCATTTATTGTGGATTAAGGGCTCATCTTTCCTCCCTCCCTTTGAATCATATTTTCAGAAGTGAAAATTTTGACACACTGTGTCATGCTGTTTACTTGGATGAATAGTGCTCTCGGTAGAGATTATCCTTCTCTATATTCCCCTATCAGACGGAAGCTAGTGGTTTCTGTTACTATCATCTAGTTAATTGTTACCTATCAAAAAAAAAAAATCATCTAGTTAATTGTTGTATTAACTTTGATAATCTTGATTGGCATTCAGACAAGTCGTTCTCCAGTGTTTCGGGCCATGCTCGAAAATGAAATGGAGGAAAGCATTAGCGGGACCATCAAAGTCAGCGATGCATCGTATGATGCTCTACGAGCATTTGTCAGCTATCTGTACACGGCCGAAGCATGCCTTGATGAGCACATGGCATGTGACCTCTTGGTGCTTGCTGAAAAATATCAAGTTACACATCTCAAGGCCCACTGCGAGAAGTTCCTCATGTCCAAACTGAACTGGGAAAACTCACTCCCGTATTATGCTTTTGCTCACCAGCACATTGCAAAATGCTTGCTCGATGCATCATTGTCGTTGATCATGGACAACATGGACAAGCTTAGTAAGCGAGAAGAGTACATGGAACTTGTGGAGAAGGATCCAAGGGTGGTGGTAGAAATCTATGAAGCTTATCTTTCCAAACAGGTGAACACTGCTGCAAGTAAAGATCCAAACACAAAATCATAGGCCGAGTATGTAGCTTGTGTTACTGTGTTAAAATTGTCGTGTGAATCTTGTAATGAAGATGCATTCTCAAAAACATTGTATATCGGGGAAATGTTCAATGCTATCTTTCTGGCTTTCCAATCGACGTTTTTGGACCACTGGAGACGACCAATTAAGACATTTAAGAAAATAATGACCAGACAAGAAAATTATTTTTTTTTCTATATTGGAATACAACAAATATATGAAAACTTAATCCTCGTATGTTTCTGTCATGTCACTACAATACACATATTACGATTAGTGTCTTCAAAAGAGAAGAAAATGCAACTTTTGTGAATGGAAAGCAAAAACAAAAATCTCGACAATGACATTATAGACGTTTCTCGCAAGTCAAAAGTTTCCAGGTCGAATTTGGACCCTCGTCAGTATCAAACATAAAGGTCACCCATCGCATTGCTTTAGCAATTTCTTGTAGTTGATAAATGACCGATATAGTGTCCCGAATGTAAGCACGTCCACCTGGTCTTAAGATTCGATCCATCTCCAGCATCATGTTTGTGATGTTACATCTGAATGAAAAATATTGGAAAACAATGAAGAAACAAGATTTCCCTTAAATATTAAGTGAATTTTGGCATCCACGTTATGGGAAAAACTGAATTTCACACCTTTTTCGTTCAGCAGAGAAAAGGGCTACAGCATTCAGCAGATCATATGTTCTTGGGTATGTTTCGAAGGGCTCACACCTACAAAATGTTCCACGCTCAAGTTTGAACAAAATTTTCAGTAACAATAGCAAAATTGATTAAGAGCAGCGAAAATGGACGTCTACAGAAGGATGTTGTGTCTATGCGTAGAAGTATTAGAAATATGTCATTTTCTTGCGAATATAAGTACGAGACATAGAGAAAGCCCATACCAATCGTGCATTACTCCAATCAAGCCACGATCATAAATTAAAGGTAATGTGTTTGGACCACTGGTAGGAACAACATTCATAACCCAGCAATCAACCTTGAGATCATGTAAAGCAGCTGCAAACCTGTAATGAGATTCAAGACATTTTACTTACTTTCAGAAAAAGTACCTTCACATTTTTAAGCACGAGGTATTCACATGGTTGACAGATATAAAATACATAGAAATTAAAGTGCAAATACCCTCCATATCCAGCTTTCATGTCCATCACATTGCGCACACCCATGTCTTTCAAGTGAAAAACATTAACATATCCACTTACAATCTCATTCCAGTATTTTGAATCCGCTTTGTAAATTTCCTTCCTAGACTTTTCAGCATCCATTTTTATGCTAAAAAGTCTGTCCGGTGGATAATGCAGACGTGCAGGCCAGTTAGTAACATTAGCTCCGTAACCATTATCAGGTAAACGGCTTATGCATGACTCCAGATTTACGTGCCTGCAAGGAGAATGATGTAACTACATGACTTGAAAGCAAACGCCTCTCGGTATCTTTCTGCATAAAAGACGTCCCTCCAAAATCCCTCACGTGCAGAAATTGAAGGGGATAATACAAGCATGGAATTACAATGTATCCTTAAAACTAAACTACACCTCAAAAATTCATGGTCAAGGGGATAAGTGTGCAGTATGATTAGGCTCCACTAAGTTTCCAATCGTAGGAATAAAGTTTTGTGACCAGACAAAGAAATTGGTAAAATACCAGATGTTATCTGGATTATTGTCTGCTTCACATAATGAAGGCTGTACACCAGAATCACGGCTGAGATAGCAGCTGTTGTTTAGTGGCTTCTGCCATATGGCAATATACCCTTCCTTCTCTACGAGTTCCCAGCACATACTGCTAGTAAGATCCTCCATCGCTGAGAACAAGTTTGTTCAGGATTTAGTGGTACTACATAGTATATCATAGTGCTGAAATGAAGATATTCATGACAATAATTCTATGGTGAATGATCAAAAGTACTAAAAAAGTGTTTGACAGACACAGAAAATTTGTCACCTCTCCATTGATCTAATAGGTTATCTTCATGTTCATAAACTGGTTGTGCAGTCCAAATGAAATATCCCCCTGCCCTCAGCATCCTGTTTAGCTCGAGAAGCAAAAGTCCATCTTCACCAAAATCCACACGTAATTTACGGAAAATCAGCAATGACTTAGATGTTTCTACTACTTAAAACATTCGAAGATAGGTGCACAAAATGAGAGCACTGGAACATGATTAAATTAGAGAAGCAAAAAAATAATCACAGCCACTTTTCCTCCGAATTTAGTCTGATCATGAAGAGTTGGATAAAATTTTCAGTACCATTACAATATAGAAAAACAAAAAGAATAAAACAAATTGAGATAGAGCAAATATACCATCACGAGCCCAATTGATTCCGCAGCTTGAACAATGAATCAGATCAAAACCCTGGCTCGGATAAGGCAAACGACGTGTTACCAATGATGCCACCATGGCAGGCACACCTCGTTCAAGTGCAAATTGAATCTGGTTATTATGAACATCTGTTGGAGCTATTGACAGAGTGGTTACATTCCGCTCCATCAAATATGCACCAAAACTCGCCATTCCACAACCAATATCTAAGGCAATCCGCGTACGTTTCCCAAATGCAATATCAGGAGCCATCTATACACATTTGCTGCAGAAATTAAAGATGCGCAAATAAACAGTAAAACTTAGTTGGAATTAGAAAATAACCAAACCTTGGAAATCTGATCCAAGTGTTCATTAGCACTACAGATATTTTGTGTTCGGCCATCTGAAAATATGTACTTATCACCTTGTCTCGATATCAAATTTCGGCATCCTTTATCTTCGACCAAGTTTGTCTGAGGTATATTATCATACCAGACCTACGATTACATTGCAAAACTTCTTTAAATTGTCTTCATTCTGGTGAACTATAATCTAAACAGTAATTTTAGTTTGCCATAGGGCTATTGAACTAAGAAATCATATTCATATAAAATTAGATTTTTATAAAATGTTAAACCCCCAATTAATAAATTGTGCATTCTCTTTATAATGAAGATAGTATTTCAAAGACAAAATCCAGATTAATTATCGTTCACAAAGATTGGATAATCAAGGTTATACCTCATCCCTGCTTTTAGGCCATGGAATGTGAAGCTTGTAATCTTTAGGCCTAGGCACCAAACAGTCCAATCCTTTTCCAACTTGAGGACAATTTCTCTGGTACTTCTCGACTTTCTCCGAGGAATTCGACCTCGAATTTGCCTCCATATTATCCAAACAAGGAATGTAGTCGATCGTACTCGAATCACAAACTCTGAATTTGTCAACTTTAACCACTTTTTCCTTGTAATTTTCTAGTTGGTAATCACTTTCATTCACCATCACACTCTGTATCAGACTCTCGTCGAATTCTCCGACTATGAAGTCCTCCGTCATGGTACCGGTCTGGTCAACTATTCCAGTCCTCTCAAACCCCTGCTGCCGGGGTGTCGGCGGAGGTGGTGGTGGAAATGGGACTTTGCTGGTGGAGTTGGTGGTGGTGGCTGGGAAGAAAGAAAGTTGGCGCTCTAGAAGTGAGGTGGTGGGGGTAGTAGAGGTGGCATCAAAAGAGAAGTGTTTGAAGATAAAGAAAAGGGAAAATGATAGGAGGAAAATTGATGTGATCTTGATGAATGAAGGGGTGGATGTCACACCATGGAGGTTGTTGTCGGCGGCGGCGGAGGAGCTCGTGAACATTGCATTCATGGAGATTCTATGTGTGTGAATTTTGTGAAATATTAGAGAATGAAGAGATGGAAACAAATTTACGATACTTTTTTGTGGGGATTCTATGCTGATTTCTTACCTTAATCTTACGTAAGTCGCTGGTACCACGTGTCTTGTCCGTAAAACATGTCTGCGCCCTTTCTCGATTACACTTCCCTTCAGTTCTCTACAATTTTATCACTGTAATTCCTCTCGAGTCCTCAATGTTTTGACACTGCGTAGTATTCTATCTATCTAATATAAAATTTTCATAACCACGATAAAATTCATATCGAATAAATATGAAAATATAGACAAAAATATAAGGGTTTGGATTACTTCTTTTAAAATAGAAGTCAGTTTTAATATGATATTAAAGCTCATTAAACTCCAAAAAACAATTCGTTCCGATTAAAATTAAGAAAAATGAGCACGCAAATTTCGTGATTAGTTTACACAAATGAACCATCATCATGCGAAGATTTGTTGAGGGATAAATATTACCCCTGTGATTAATATTTTTAGCCCTTTTTTATTCTTTTTCTTCTAAAATACATTTTTCTCTTTCTTATTTTCAACCGCACATTTTTAATAAAATAATATAATACGTAAATCCAAAATATTTCTTTATTTTTTAAATACACATTTTTTATTAAACTACTGTTCCAAAATGCATTCTTAAGTTTAAACATTAATTTGAGAACCAAAATGGGTATATGAAGTTCAAATCATCAGCACTGTAGTGATTGGAGGAAAGGTACAGGAGGGGAGATTGGTATGTTCATAGGGCAGTCCGTGTACGGTACGCTTTTGGTTTTACACTTTTAATATGCCATATTGCACTGAGTGTTTATTACTCAAAATTAAGAAGTATACTACTTGTACAAGTTGGTACTCATGTCCCAAATCTTTCATTTATGACACTAAGACGGTGTCTAGTGGGAATTGTTTTAGGGAAAAAAATCAATTTTTTTACCGTTGTTTTCAACTTTTGGGGCCCAGTTGTGAGTGAATGAGTCAAAATGTACGTCTCCTTTTGAAATTAACGAATAGAATTTCAATTTTCAGCACAAACAGACAGACCCTAAATTTCCATGCAAGTTGGAAGTTTTACAATTTCAATCATGCGTGTAATCTTGGAAATTTTAACGTCTAAATTGATATTTTTCGTCAAGTGTAGATACCATTCGTGTGAAATGGTTGAAAACGTAATTGTCACACTTATAAAAGGTTAAGGACCTTTGATGTGAAGTCCAAGATAAAAAGTCACGGCAAAATAGATTGATAGATTCATAATCCTAAGACAAGTGATCTTCCGAGATTACGTCTTCTATCTCACCTTCTCTCATAAGATGGGATCAAAAGATATAAATTTTCAAGGCTTAAAAAAATCGATTAAGTGAATTTACGTAAAGAAAGACATTTAAAAGCAAAGACTTCCGATGTAGTAGAAACTCAAAATGTTACTTTTCTAATTCAAATATAAATGATCACGACCAAGATGCTACAATAATTTCATTTCTTTTTCTAGTCGAAAATCAGAGGAAAAATATCATCATTTCCTTCAATAAACTCTCCACAAGCTAAAGAGGGTACAGAAAACATTTTCTTCCGAGGAGAGAAAAAAATTTGATTGAATGTAATGCCAAAAATAAAAATACAAACCAAACCAAACCAAACCAAACCAAACCAAGCTCTTAGGTAATTACGGCTTCACCAACTGCTCGATCTTGTTTATTTTGAAACCTCTTATCCTCAATTCTTCAGGTACTGAAGTATCTTTATAGTCAACACTTTCAATGGTCCATCCCTTGTTTTGCACCGCACCTGCCACTTCAACCTGTTGAATTTAAGAAATCACGAAAAATTATCGATCTTAGATTTTCCAAGTTGTCATCATGAATTAACATAGAAAAGTGGGAAAACACTCCTCTTAATGCACTATTACTGATCTTACGACATGATTTGGTATGCAGTACTAAATAGATTGGATAGATTTAACTTCTTTAATAGAGTCGAGAAGTATATAGTTGACTACCAAACAAGCCATTAAAGTTTATTGATGCCACAATTTGACCTGAAAACGTGAAGTTGAGAACCTGTTGAAAAAACTTCGGTAGGCTGTGAAAAAACGAAACGGAATCTTAAATGCAGAGTAAATCATTCGACAAGAACTTTCAGTTTGATGCTCTTGGCATCCTTGGTATAAGCTCGAGATTTTTACTCAACAAGTAAATAAGTAAGTTTTACAATTAAAAAGAATTTTATTTTTGGAAATTGGAAATAAGTTGCTAATTTTGTCAGTAAATTAAGAATATCTCCAATGCTAAAGTAGACCACACTAATAAAGTTGCCACATACGGTGAAGTAGACAGTGTCTACAAAAATTTCTCTCCCTAATGTCTAGAATTATGCCTAACTGACGTGGCAAGAAAAAATGTAGACATTGTCAAGAAGATTGTATAGATGTACAGCCCTTCTAAGCAAGTCACCATAATTTAATATTTCTCTCTTGTTTCTTATTGTTACCTTTTCTTGTTTATTATTCTTTCCTATTAAATATACCTAAGAGAAAAAACATTGAATTATAGACCCATTGGAGATAAAATTTGAACTTCCTTCTATTCATTAGACATTGCCACGTAGATTTAAAGTCTATCTATTAACATTCCACCTACGTTGCAATCCATGGAAAGCATTGGAGATGCGTTACTCTAAGAAAATGTAACTTTATACCCAAAGTAAAAAGAAGGTAAGTCATCACATATGTGGAGGCAAAAAGTGAAAGAAACCACACTTTTTTTAAGCAACACATTTTAAGTATTTAACCATGGTCTAATATATTCAGCTTACCTCTGTACCATCAGAAGAATCGATGATAAGAGCTCCATTCAAGGATAGATCCACAAGGTGGCAATTTGGGGACTTTATGACCATGGTAGATCTTTGTGTAACAGAGCAGTTACCATGGACTTTGCTTCTAACATCAGAAAATGTGAGCCCCCATTTTGGCTTCCATACAATACGAGGCCATACTTCCACCTCCTGTCCGTTCAACACTTGAAGGATTGGATCATCTATCTTAACACCAGCCTGTGACAGAACATAATGGATTAGAAGTTGGACGAAAGTTATAGTGATTCGGATGAAGAAACTGCATTCATACAGTTTAAAGATCTCAGTCTTCAACCATCTAATACATCCCCAATCTACTCACAGCCACAAAAATTGATAACTATAGGGTCGTGTTTGGCTGAGGACAATATAAGGCAGGAAAAGAAGCAAAAAATCTTCATCATCCTCCTGTCCAGTCTGCACCAGGGTTCTTCAAAAACCACGTTTTGTGACAATCATTTAATCCAATGACAATTAAGTGTTGATCAATGTACTAATGAATATGGCAAGTGGCCAAAGCCAATAGTGGCGCAAAAGCTTGAATATCTATATAGACCATGTTTCTAACCTATAACATCTTTCTTCATCTTCTAAATCTTCTAAGCACACCAGGCATGAATTTGTCTTAATCTTCAGCATACATGTATTCTCATTTAACAATGCAACCTATGAACCTTGTTCATTCAGATTGACAAAGGTCCATATGATGGACCAAAAATACAGCATCAACCGATTTCAAACTCAGGGAAGACAACATGTTAAATTGGAATATCATGTAGGCAGCTAAACTATGACAGCTATTGGTTGGGAAAACCGAGTCCACTTCCATCAATACTCATCCTAATTACGAACAATTTGTCTTTGTTTAATAAAATAAACAGATGTCTGAATTCAACCAACTTTCCATGCATCTAATATCCTTTTTTTTATGAATGATGTACGGAATTGGTAAAAGAAAGCGAAATTAAGATGTCAAAAAATGCCAAAAGCCTGGTGAGCAAATCAAGTACTTGTATGTACGAATCTCAGTAATTAGCATCTCTATATATTCTCATGCTTAGTAATTGGAAAATGCTGTCTTTTCCTAACCTTTTCTCCACTCTGATTCTCCATACAGAATAGAAGTTATGGTTAAAAGGCTAAAAAAAATATATGAATCAGATTTGTATTAGTCCTTCATTGATGAGAGAGAAAAACAGGAAATGCTAAAATAGATGAAGTTTCATCTTTGCTCGAGTATTTGGGGACAAGTGAAATACCTTTCTCAGGATGAGGCTGTTCGCCTTATATATGGCCATTTCTCCAGAAGTAGCACTGTGATATGGATTACCCTTGGGTACCTTTAACATATTCAAATAGAAGTATTGCGAGATCAAAAAAATGAAGAAAATCAGAAGTATAAAATGCAAATATCAAGAAGCATAATCAGAGATCAAGAAATATTAATCAAGAAAATCTGAAAGCCTCCCACCTCCCTCTGTGATAATCAAGTGTAAAATGAACAAATCATGAAACATTAATCAAGAGATCAAGTCAAGAAAATATAAAAGGTACCCTCCCTCCCCATCCAGTAAAAATACACGTTTTATCTTTAACTGAAGTACTCCTAATACCTTAGCTGCATCTTCAGGATTGTTCTTTACAGGTGCATAAGCAACCCAAGCATCCATCGCCTGAGTGATTGAACAAAAGTTGACAGATTGAAAATTGAGGAGCTTATGTGCAATCTAAGAAACCAAGATAAAGAAAAAGTGCTGAGATAATTTTTAAATGGCATAGCTTCCACTTACAGTAAATCCAACTCTAGCTGAAGGAGGAAGTGTTTTGGGATAATCTTGCATCATACATTCGAGTCGCGTAGAGGACTTAAATGCAGTTTTAGTTGAATCTTTGTATCTGCATTCACAGAGAGAATATAGATGATCCCAGCGAGACCACCAAATGTTCAGTTAATGAGAATTCGGGAAAAATAATGGTCAATGCATCATGCAAATAATGGTATTCTTTTTTTATTTTTTAAGCAAGATATAATAGTTCATGAGTGATAGAATAAATTAGCTAGAACCATATTGTTCGTGAGTAATAGAACAACTTTTTTTAGATATTTTCAACGTTCACCAGCAGTATGAATGCAGTTTCTTCTCTGTCAATCACAACAATAATTACGAGGAAGGCACTTCAGAACACCAGAATTACATTTCTCTATTTAATACTGAGAGGGAGAAAGGGCTTACTTGGGGTTAACAAATTCCTTTATGGCACCTCCTGTCTTTGTGAGTTCTTCCAAATAAGGGCCAATTTCAAAAATGAGCTGCAAAATACGGGCACAATATATCAAGCCTGAACAATTGCTAAATTTTTGCTACAAGTAACAAAAACTGGTTTTCCGACAAAAGAATGCCATCATCATACTAAAAACCCATCTCATAAGATCTCTACATGTCTCAGGGTTCTGGCAGTTAAAGAAAGGTTCTTTTAATGTTGTATATTGTCAAGAACAGACTGTTTTAGAAAGTATAGAAACCAACTACAGACATAGTCTACCATCATATATACCAATCGGAAGTACTTCTAACATGAAGAATGCAAAATAAAATGCTAACTCACACTTCAGTTTTAGAATCAAAACTCATATGAAGTCCATAACTTGGGAAAGCATAATGATCAGAAAAGAGGTCGAAAGCTATGGCAAGAAGCACATAAAAGAGAGGACAAAATTAAGATGTAACATTGTTACTGTATAACCTTGAGATAATGATATTGGTATATTGCAAAAGTCATAGACTTATTGGAAAGAAAAGAACACAAAGCATTTAGATGACACGCCTATTATGGCAACCACCACCAGTCAAGTGTCTGAAAAGTGCCATGATACCAAAGGGAACATAAAAAGAACAAGTTTTCGAATAAAATCCGTATTGGGAAAATTAAGAAACAAAAGCTAAAATGAGTTATTGGCAGAACATATACTTGGTTTATGTTTCCAGGGAAAGGAGAATATCCTGTTTCAGAGTTGACATCACCATCTGGATAGCCACTAGCTCTAAGCAATGGATCAAGTTGATTGTATTCCACATTGATCACCATTGTCCTCCCTGACACAAAAATTTATATTTCAAAAGACTATATATAACAATATAAACTGCAGGCCACACTGAAATATTTGCAGGGAGTACTGTTTCAAAGTGCCACAGATATGCATGTGAAGCCTGTTAACAACATACAGAAACTTGTATGAAAGAGACATTTAAGACACACAAGTCACAGATCGCCTGTTATTCTAACACAGGCACAAAGTGTGTGCATGTTGCCTCCAATATCAAATGCTATATTTTGCATTCCCAGTGGAGTAGAAGCCATTTGAGTGTGCAATGTTTGACTGTCCCAAGTCATCTCTGCTGAATAATAGACATTGGATGCATTAAGCTTCATCAAGTGTGTCTTCACCAAATGTGTAGTTTATCTTCCTTTTTTTTAACTTTCGTGAATAATATATTCATCAAGAGTCAAATATATCACGGATCCTTGTGAGCATTCTTTCTCTTCTTCTGCAAATCATGGCTCATGCATCAACTATATGCATGCTGAGATTTGGAATTTCAGCTAATGATAATATTTTAATTTTAAGATAATGTAACATGATTCAACATTCAGATTAGAGAAGCATAAAATGATTCTACGATATCAAATGCTGACGACATAGACAACAGAACAAGATCTGGACAACCAAGTTTTACATCTAGGTGTTCATAAAGCCATATAATGAGGAAAAGTGCTTATACCGTACAAACGCAAGTAACCTTAGTTATATATTATAGCACATGGTCTGGTCAACGTTATTCCCTACTCTCTAGCCAATTTTTTCAGCTTTCTAATCATCCGGGGTCTCATTTAAGGAAATTAGCAAATATAAAGCAGAAGCAAAAACTGCAGACAAAATTCACACACTTAATTTATTGAGCTAGTCCTTTTATTTTTCCTTAAAAAGACCTATGAATGACACACACCTCATGTTAAAAAAATATAGAGAATTGGCATATTTCATAAATATTTGAAAAAATAATCTACATGAAAAATCATTGGAATTGGTGATGAAAATCTGGGTGATATCTCAACAAAGCACCAAGCCACTGGGAATAAACTTTCACAACACAAATTGATGTAAATATTCTGACAGATGGTCAAATGTCATATTATGTCTACATATAATATAAATACATACCATCTTGGTGAGTAAGCTTTGTAATGCCTCCAATAGCTTCCTTAGCTTTCCGTGGAACAGCAAGAGAATTCACATGGTACCCCTTGGTGGCACTGACTCCCAATGCTGAAGGAATAGCCTGTAATATAACAAGATTAAAATATCGACTTGTAGGCCAAATGTTTTGATAAAATAACACTGCCAGATGTCGACTTCAACTAAACCTTGAATAGAAGACCATTAGTGTCTTGGAAAAACAAAACCCATCTCCGACCAGCATCATGCCTGGAAATGATAAGTACGGTTCAATTAAAACCAGACAATATAGGGAGAAAAAAGCTTCAGAGAGCTGATTGTTTATGTGTTGCATAAAAAAGAAAATAAACCCTAAATACTGATATCCAGATTGATCTAGAGAGACATATAAATCAGAAATGATGCTACAACTGCGAATTGAGCTATAGGGTTCCAATTCACAAAATAAAGGAATCTGCTTCATTATAGTAGATCTATTTGATTGCAAAAATATACTAGCTCCACTAAGACTGAACTAAGCGTGAAAATAAACCTTCTTTTGTAGCATCCTTACAAATTAATAAATTAGAAAAAAACTAAGCTGAACGAGATATAAGTTAGAGCAGCATGATTTAGGTGCAATACGTACCATTCTTTAAGAACTCCCGACGAATAAAGAAGTGAATGAACATCACCATGGCCATGAGGTTTTGTCTATGGAAGAGCATATATGGAGCAAAAAAGGAAAAAAGAATTTAGTTTCCAAAGATAAAATGATTGACATAGATTACCAATCACCACCTAGGTATCTGCATGTTCATTCCACTAATAATATCTGGAAATAATACCTGAATGCTATATTTGTTACGTGGATCCACAGCCAACCTGGCATCATTGTCATCCAAACAAGCAACTTTTTCCTGAAATAAAGTCAAAGGCAACTTTATAATCCCTTTTAATCCATCTGGGAAATTTCATGAAATGTTGTAGGCATGATCACGCACTGACCTGCTTTAACAATTTTACTTGTGTGGGTTTCATCCCAAAATAAGCATTTGATTCTAGAAGTTCCACAGTACGTGAATGAGTGTCATCTGATGTCATTATAGCCAGTGGAATCTCTGTCGGGCCATCACCTTAATTGCCAAAACAAAAATAATTAGTTGAAGAACAAGAACCCTAATTTATTAATGTAATTTTTATCTCTCTTTCGGAAAATATTTTTCAAAGAAATTTAGGTTATAAAGTTTTTGCCAAGAACATGTCTCATGGCATGACTTGGTGTAGATACCACATGCTGACAATATACAGAGACACACCCCTATCAGTCATACAACTCGGAACCGAGTTTAATCAGCCACTTCAGATATGAGTGGAAAGGATGGACAAACGATTAGAACCATTCACGTTATATTGTTGATTAATCTTGATAGAGGCTGACAGCATCATAATTTGTCTCAGTAAACATGTCACTCATATTGCTAGAACTCCAAATGCGTACCACAAAAAGTCAAAAACTGCTAACCTAGAAAGAACTCAGAGACAGAAAATCATCCACTGGGACTAAAAAGATGATAATCTCTCCTTGAGCATTATTCACTATTCTCATTTTAAGAAATAATTATGCAATAAAACTACATCCGGATATTATTGATTAACAAACCGACTTATACAGAGCCCAAACTGTGAACATCCCAAGGTGATGAACATTTCATCCCTCTTCTGTGGAACTATTTTCTAAATTTTCTGAAACTACTCGTAGGTTAAAAAGGCATAACTAGATATACAACAAGCACAAAATGTCAGAAAAGTATACACATGGAAGCAAACTAAGATGCATGTATAGCACCAGTAATATCATATTTGAAATAACATTGTCGTCAATGACAGTTTATGCAATCCAAGTTGCTCTACAAAATAACAAACCTTGGGCTAGCCTGCAGCTAGTTTCTTGTAAGGCTAGAATAGATTCAATGTAGTGCTGTAAGAAGCATGCTCCTGAAGTTGTCTCTGAAGGTAGAGCCACCTGCAAAGGATGAGGATCTCAGTCAGGGGATTGTAGCTGACTCATTTCATTCCACAAGCACTAACATAGTTGCTTGATTTTTAGTTAAGTGGATTGTCATTGTCAGGCATACTACACTCAGAAAAGCATTCATGCCATTTTACAGCAATAACTAGGCCTATAATTACTAATGTACTTAAATTCTAGATCAACAACAAAGACTTGGATGACATAATTGCCAGACAGATAGAATAAATTATCTAACCATGCAAGCGATTGTTCTTACCTTTATACCATTGTACCCAAGACGTTCCCCAAGGCCTCCAGCAACAAGGACAAATGCAGCCTTATGTGCCTCCTTGACACCAGCATCCTCATATTGAATAAACGCATCATCGCCAAAAGTCAGATTCTCCCCAGATGGAACCTGTTGAATTATTGTACTTATATCATTTAAAACCCAATCACGGTTTTACAGCATACAGAGAAGAAAGCGCTTGTGAAGATGTGAAAAAGTAACCAATATAAAATGGACATCACATCTCTGCAGAATAAATGACACCGCATGTTACATGACCAAAGAAGGCAGTCGGGTAAATCAATAGTTAAGAAACTTTGTTCTAGAAATCTAGGTGCTCATTTGAAGAAAAATGTTCTGAAGTCAACCAAGATTAAAATTATATGAAGAAGATGCAGTGAGCTGTGAGCATAACATGAATAGGCAAAAAGAAATCGGCCCTCCTAAGATGACAAATCAACACTAGAACATTTCATGCTTAACGGGTGCTTCTTTATCAAAAGTATCAATAACGATTACTACAAGAAACAAGAATAAGGTAAGTAGAGCAGATGAAAAAATCTTTCTAACAGAAGTCGGTACACTAATTTCGAAATCTACAAGACTTGGCCCACTATCCTCAAAAAAGAACTGTCCGACTCTCAAACATCAATAAATGAATAGTAAATAAGTGCAGATTTTTTGCATTGAATATGAACCACATATGACTAAATTAAAAAACTCAAAATGTTTCTAGCACAGTAGGCTGAGGACAAACCTTCTCTAGAATAGAAGTAAGACAAGTGGTTACCACGAGAAACTAATAGTCAATAGCATACCTTCTATGGCATATCATTGTGCACATCTTCAAAATAAAACTCCCATTTCGGCATGATATTCATGGATTATTAATTATTCATTTGTTTCATTCACACAGTTTGAAATTCAACTATTCTTATATTTGCCCATATAAATTGTAATAATAACTAGCAAGTTCCTTAGCCATTTAACATGAGGTTCACATTGTCAAATTATAGAATAAATTAGAAAAGAAGAATTCACAATCTAGCTCAGTGGAAACTGATAGAAAAAAAATCATATTAACTTGCCAAGTACAGTAGTTGTATTTTAAAAATATAAAAAAGAACATGACCATATAAACAGTTTGCAAATTGTAAGTACTCTAGTTGTATTTTAAAAATATAAGAAAGAACATGACCGTATATACTGTTCACAAATTGCAAAGTACAGAGGCCAACTTACAGAGGGCATAAAGCCATCATACGGATTCTTCCCAGCCTTTGAATCTGCCAATAGTTCCCTAGCAGTTTTGATGTATGACGGCAGTCCTCCTGGATAACTTGAGTTAAGTCGAGCCACCTAACAGAAATGGAACAGTAAGACGTTGGACAAAAAAGTTCTCAACCAATAACCTGCCCTGGGCCATCAGCTTTTCTGTAAATGCTTTACTTTGTGATGGAAATACTAGGGACAGCAGTTCAGTTCAAATAGTGGATGCCAAACTTATCGTGGGGAAGAAAGAAGTAAGGAAAATATTCTTTCTGTATTAGAACCAGAAAAAAGGCAGCTTCATCAGTAAAATCCAATTTACAATTTAAACAGAAATGATTGATTTTTATATGTTAGAATAATTTTATGCAATTTATTCAGATCACATTTTAGTCTCCTACTAAGATCTGTTGCACCAAGAAAAGAAAAGAAAGAGAGAGAAGCGCCATGTGTAAAAGTCCATAAAAAGTATATCAAAGGCAAAATCACAGCTAGAGAGATACAAATTTGTTCTAAGATACCCAAATATGCATAAAGACAAGTGCATTCATGTAACAATCTCGATCAAGTTCAAGTTCAGTCATTCATATTTAACAGAAGAAAAAACGTAAGGGACTTTCAATCTCGCACTCTGATCTGTGCATAAAAGCAAAATAACGACCACAAACCCGAAACCAAAACAAGATCGTAACTTTAACAAAAATCCATCTGTTCCAATGTACACGTGCTTGAAACTTTACCATCAAAATTCATAAAATAATTAAAAATCAATAAAAAAACAAAAGATGAATTCCGAAAACTAGCCTGATTGAAAAGCTCGCGCTTCTCGTCATCGTCGACGCCGGGCTCGGGCCAATGTTCGAACAAATGGCTCTGGCCCATTTCCAGAAGCATCTTCGCCAGCTCCACCTATACATACAGATTTTATTGCATGTTCAATAACAGTGATTCAATTGTTTATTTACATATAGATATCGTTTGTACGCACCTGTTCAGGGGAGAGGAGAGAGAGATTCTTAACGAGGTTGGAAGCGGCGGCGGTACAATCATCACCGCCGTCGATGTGGAGTTTTGACAGGCTATCGGCGGTTGATCCAACGGTTGAGGTTGCCATGACGTGACTTCCGATTAAATGGACAAGAATGAATGGAGATCTGATGATATAATATGGAGTAACCGAAAGAAACGGTGAAAAAGAGGAGTCACTTTATTTGGTATTTTCTCCCAAACATAAATCCATTTAACCAAAAAGACATTTTTTCCAAATTTATTCTTAATTATATATCTTTTAATAAAATAATATTACACGTGAACACAAAAACTTTTTCCTTATTTTTCGACCATACATTCCACAAAAATTACTATTTCAAAATACATTTTTATCAAAATCTCATTAAAATGAAGCTCAAACAAGAGTTGAATAAATAAATGATTAGCATTAGTTGCTTTTAGTTATTTCTATTTAGGGATTGTAAATGGGTCGAGACGCTTGCGAGTTTGCTCATTTCGATTTGATTCATGAACAATTCTACTCATTTTTTTTATTAATTTTTTAAGAAAAAAGGACGAGTGGTTCATGGACGGCTCTTCTGACTCATGAGATTCACGAGACAAATGGTAGAATCGAGCATAGTTCATAGACGCAAGCCGAACTCGAGCTCCGTTCGTGTGTCTGAGGGGTCGAGTCGATTCGACTCATGTAATCCTTCTTGTACCATTCTTGTTGTATTCAGGACACGTGTCAAATGTTGAGAAAACAACGATAAATTTAGAAATCAATCGAATTATATGTAAATAATTAAAAAGTTAGAGCCCGTTAAAATAAGTAAAGAATTAGTAAACTGGCCGATTTTGGATTGAATCACCTTAGCCCCTGTTTGTTTCACATTATTTAAGCAAGAAAATGAAAATTTGTACCATTTTTTTCAAAGTAAGTGGGTCCCACCAACACACAAACTAGTCAAATATGACTATTATTCTACTGTACCAACGGTCTATTTTTTTCTACTAATGTGAAACAAACGGGGGCTTATTCGATCACAAATTTTGAACTTTTTTATTCTACTTTGATTATCTTTCGAGACACTTGATGAACGAGTTTTCATGTAAAAATGGGAAAAGCTAAAAAGAAATAAAAAGGAAGTGGAACTTTGATATTGGCGTCGATACAAAGCCATATTTTGTTCTCTTTCTGTTGAAGTTAAAGCCAAAATTAGGTGGAGAAAAGATAAAGTTTGGCCAATAAAATTATAGAAACTATTTTGTGCAAGGAACCATAAAGGTATTGTCCGAAGAATATGCCACATCCAAATAAGAGTCGTGCACCACAATTTGTAGTTAATTAATTAGAAAGATGGCCTAATTACATGTGATTTGCCTCTGTAATTAGCTGAAAATGTTAATTGTTTAGTTACACCCTCCGTAAGGTAAGTTGTCATGTGTCGCTTTTCGTTAACGATATTTAATTTTAGCTAATGATATTATACCAACGTACATCGTCGTATTATAGTTAAAAAAACGTGTTCATTTTGTAATAGTAAGTGCGCGATATCCCTAAAGTTGACCTAAAGATTCTTCCGACTAAGACTTTGAGCTTGTTTTAGCCCCATTTATTGTAAGAATTCATTTTGGAATGGTATATTGATTAAAAATGTGTAATTAAAAAATAAAGAAAAATTTTGAGTTTACGTAAAATATTATTTTATTTAAAAATATGTAACTGAAAAGAAGAAAAAGAAAAATATATTTTGAAAATAATGAAAATCAAATAAGAGATTTGTTCCTTTATTATTGACCTAGTTAATCATATAGATTGTTTGAATCGAAAAGAATAAGATGTCGTTCTCTTTGTATTTCAGTTTTATATTTTGAGTTTTGAATTCATTTTGGGTTTTGCGTTTTGAGTGTTTATTTTGAAATTGTTGAAAATGTGTTCTTTTTGACATTTTGAAAAATTATTTTGAAAACACAAAACGCGTTTTGAAAATTTTGGCTTGATTATATGTGAAAACTTCGTTGTAAATTTTTAACTTGTTTTTAAAAACGTTTTTCGAAAATAGGAAAAAGAACGCGTTTTCACTATTTTAGAAAATCGAAAACAGAAAACAATTTGAAAATAGTAAAGAAAACAAATTCTAAGTAACTGTCAGTAGTTGTTTTTCAATCTAATTTCTAAACTAAAATCAAGTTATTATCAATTACCTATTGACAAAATTGCGTTTTTGAGATAGACGATGTAAGCAAACGCTAGGACATCATGATTTCACCTTAATCCTCCCTCTTAATTTATCATGTAAGTTCTTCATAATATGTATTTGATGAAGATCGATAGTTGTTAATTGGCTTTTTTTATTTATTTTAGTAAACTTATGCAATTTTAATAATTTAATTTTTAGAGGTGTAGGGTTTTCTTTAAAAGAACAAAGGTTCATTTTTGACAGCTTGTTTTGATTAAAGTTTTAAAAAAATGTGAGATTTCTCCCATTTCAATTTAATTTATTTGCATCCGTGTATGACTCAATTAATTTTTCATGTTCACTTTCTACATTATGAAGAGATAACAGGAACAAGAAGTAGTCATTTCACGACGTTCTTTTGAAATAACGAAACTTCAATGGTGTGTCAATTCATTGTTTCACGCTCCCGCCCATACAGCATTCAATCGAACTTTTCTAAAATAATTGAAAACATCTCTCGAGTAAAATCAATTCTATATAATCAAGAAAAATCGCTATATCTTTACATGAACTTTAACCTAATTAAGTACATTATTCCGCCAAAAAGCTTATTTAACAATTGCAATAATGCCAAGAGAAATATCGATTCTTATAATTTGCTCTAAATAAATAAATAACTCACTTCTCGATTCATTAATAATTGACCCTGGCAATCGGTGGAATAAAGCACGGTATCAGAAAAAAAAACACGAAAATAAATAAATTGCTTACTCCACCATAGTATATTTCACAAAATATATCATAAACCACAAGGTGATAAGTCAAGCTACAGAATTCTAACGAGCATCCTTAGCTAAGCCTAAAAAGGCAGAAGTTTAACTTTTAATTTTCAAACATGTTTGAATATATCACTACTTTTCCTGATTTCCTTTTCTTCTATTCTTTTTCCCTTCTCTGCAATGTCATTTCTTCTGCAGTTAATAAATAAATAAATAATCATGACTATTTGAAAAAAAGAGAATACAAAAAACTGAGATAAATGATTACGATAATCTTCCTATGATAGATATATAATTTTGTAATTGTCATGGAAACACATTTCTTCATCTTGTTTCGCCGACGATGGTAATAGTAAGTTCATTCTAAACTATAGAACTTGTGCTTCTTATTGAATCACCATCTACTAGTTGATTTTCATTACATTCAATAATACACTTTGGATGTTTTTGTTGAATTTGAATACACAAAGAAATTATATTATATGTTTATAATGAAACACTCAAGACAATTTTACAATTTAATATGGACACTAACCAAACACACTAGGACACCTCACTAATTATTTTACCAACTTGCAGTACTTCCCACTCACTAACTCCACTAACTCTCTTTTCACTTTTTCTTAATTCTCACTCTTTCTTTTTCTCTGCACTCTTTCTCACACAATTATATATACATAGCAGTTACACACACACACACACATATGTATATATAGCCGTGAATGGCGGTGGAATTGTATCTAGAGAATTCCTCAATTGACGGTGACCGAAAAGTTTTAAGATAATTTTAGCAACTTCTAGCATGGCGGTGGTGATAGGATAAAATTAATTTCTTCTCTGATGTTGGCAGCTATGGAAAAATCTGGAAAGTTGGTAATGATTATTCAATTCTCCCCTTCAGCACCAACTTTCCATTTTGACTCTTTTCTTTTTAATCATGTCCAGCATTGCTGGAAAATCTACCAATTTTAAATCGCTTGATCCTTTATTTAATGCATCCGCATTCAATTATGTTTAGCTCTTTTGCACTCTCGTCCTTTTCTATTTCTTGATTAGAATACTTGGTACTTGATTTCTTAAATCCACTCGATTTCCTTATTTGTGATTGTGAATTGTACGTACTTTGATATCTTGTTGACTCTTTTGATCCTCCGTTACTGTTTCTTGACCGACTTCATTTTGTTCATTACTCTGTGTCGCTCTTATAAACTCTTCTTTAACATTTGATACATGTAGATCTTTAGATCCCTCAACACTTCGTTGTGCTTCCGTGTCCTCATTTTGCAATCTGTCTTTCGTTTCCTTTAAATCTAGCTGTTCAACCTTTTGCAGTATCACCAAAAATATGCTTTTTCAAAACTTTTTTTAACTCTGGTAGTTCATCCCTCTGCGGAGTCCACCAAGGAGATTCTTCATGAATCTCGATATCCTCTCCCAAGTCATCGATCCAATCATCTTTCTAATCCATTTGTTCAGGAAGAACCACAACTAATGCTGATTCATCATTTATACTCAAATTGATTTTCTTTTCTTGAGCATGTTCAATTACTTTTGCAGATGCCACATTATGTCATTTTTCTTCACTATCATATTTCTCTTGGTCGTTGGAGATTGCTGTTATATTGTCTTCTACTGGCTCCTTTTTAAACCAACAGTCTCTAGCATAAAGACATCGTCTGCCACATACGAAACATGAGCGATAATTCGTTGAAATTCTTTAAACGCCTGACATCTCTTGTCGTGACTTTGTTTGGCTCCCCTTGTCACATAATCTTTTCAATATTTATTTTCTTTTAATTCCTTTTTATTTTGTTGACAATATCAACCTCATTTTTGATAACCGAATAACGCTTTTTCCTCTTCTTTCTTTATTGAGACTAGGACATTTGTTTTGTTAACGCTTCTTTGTTTCAAGATTGACCAATGATGGTTGCTCTAGCCAACCTTTTATCGCAACAATGAATCCTCTAAATTCGGGTCTTAGACCATGTATAATTAATCTTCTCATTCTAGACTCCGAAATCTTGCCTGAAGAATCTAATTCTGAAATTTCGTGACAAAGAGATTTAATTTTATTAAAATATTGACTTGCTGTTTGTTCTCCTTGAGTGATCGAGAGTAGCTCATTTTCCAACAAGCCAACCTTGTTTGGCATCAATGAATCCTCTAAATTCGGGTCTCAAACCATGTATAATTATTCTTCTCATTCTAGACTCCGAAATCTTATTTGAAGAATCTAATTCTGAAATTTCACGACAAAGGGATTTAACTTTATTAAAATATTGACTTACGGTTTGTTCTCCTCAAGTGATCGGGAGTAGCTCATTTTTCAATAATTGCAACCTCAAGTCATTTTTCTTTAAGAATAATGTGGCCAAAGTGTCCCATGCTTCATTCGGTGTATTCATATCCCTAATGTGTTCCAATAATTCTTCTTCAATTGTCATCTTTATGAGAATAGAGTCTCGCCTGCTTCGATTCTCCATTTCTTCAGAGCTTCGGCCTCCGTTGGTGGCGTCACGTTACTTCCACCAACAACTTGCCATAGGTCTTGCTTTTGGAGATATTACTCCATACAAGTTTGCCATTTTGTGTAGTTCTTATTATTGAGCTTCTTTACTTCACCTACCATTTGTAGATCGTCCATCGTGACTTGATTTACGTCCTCATAATCAAGCAAACTTTATAAAAGTTTCACAATCTCCTTTTGTGCACCAACACTCGAAGCTCAAAAATTCGTCTCCGACCACCTTACTCTGATACCGAATTGTTGAATTTGAATTCACAAAGAATTTATATTATATTTTTATAATGAAACACTCAAGACAATTTAATATGGACACTAACCAATCACACTAGGACACCTCACTAATTATTTTACTGACTCACAGCACTTCCCACTCACTAACTCCACTAGCTCTCTCTTCACTTTCTCTCAATTCTCACTCTTTCTTTTTTCTCTGTACTCTTTACACAATTATATATACATAGCAATTACACACACATATATATAGTCATGAATTTTGGTAGAATTGTATTTTGGGTTCATTTGATTGCAAGGGTGGAAAGAAAATGAATTTCAGATAAAATAATTATCTATAACTTATTTTCCAGTGAATTGTTAATTAAATGTTTTTATTGGTATAATTTTTCACCTGAAAATTTTAAAATTTTGGATCTTTTTGTATTCGTTTGACTTTGTTTTATATGGAAATTGTCCATTAAAGTGATATTTTTTCCACAATTGTTTATAAAGATTTGCCTAGAAAATGTTTTGCAGGGAAAATGATTTCAAATGTGTTTGATTGGTATAATTTTCCACCCGAAAAATTTTTAAATTTTCTATTCGTTTGGCTTTGTTTTACATGGAAATTGTCCATTAAAGTGATATTTTTTCCACAATTGGTTATAAAATTTGTTTCCATTAAAAAAAAATTTCAATAAAATCATTTTTTAATCAAAATTTAGTATTCGTTTGACTTTGTTTTATATGAAAATTATCGATTAAAATGATTTTTTTTTTTTTACAATTAGTTATAAAATTTGTTCCAATTGCAAAAAAATAAAAATAAAAAAAAAGCTAGGTGGGAAAAGGAATTCCACCAAATCAAGTCATTGGTGCACGTATGAGGCATAAATGAAAAATATTTTCCATGGCAAAACTTTGCCATCAAACAACCAAATTTCCATTTCCCCATGGAAAACGTAGGAAATCAAACACGTCCTTAGAGAATTCTTCAGTTGACAGTGCCCGGAAGGTAGGAGATAATTTCAGCAGCTTCTAGTATGGCGGTGGTGATATGATAAAATTAATTTCTTCTCTAATGTTGGCAGCTATGGAAAAATCTGAACAGTTGGTGATGATTCTTCAGTTTTTGCCAAGTTATTTCTTGTTCATCATCAAAGTTCTCGTCCCAACTGGATTAAATTCATTTCATGTGAAATTTAACTTAGTTTCTCTCTATACATATTGTTCTAGAATTTTTCTTTTTCCCTTTTTTTCTTCTCTTGCTACTATACTTTTACTTTCAAGTTCGATCTGCGAGCACACTAAATGCCATAAGAATTTTCAAATGATGCCTTGACGATGACCTTCTAATGCTCATTGAACTATTAGAACTAAACTAAGGAATATTGGATTAGCAAGGTTTATGATAATGGCTCAATATCCTCCCCATTCTTAAATATCATGATAGCACGTCCAAATTACTATATCTTGCTTGTCATGCTCCGACCGTCAAGGTTGGAACATTTAGAGCCTACTATGTTTGGACAAGCTTAGATATTATTTTTCACAACATTTAAGAAATGATACTTATTTTTCAATTGTCTAATTATGAATTATATTTTGAAATTTAATTTTCTAAAGCAAAAAATTACTTAATATTTATTAGTAAACTAAGTTTTAGCTAAACATGTTACGGGATTTGTTTGACATGACTTTTGGAAAGTTTTTAAGTGACCATATTTGATAGTCATTATTTGGCAAAAATTATGTTTTGAACAATGAATTTTTGGAGAGTACATGGTTCACGAGAAAATGTTAATGTAAAAGTTGGTCTGATGTGTCGTCACTTTTCTTCGCAAAGCATAAGCAGAAACAAATTTTATGCCAACTAGGCTATTAATTATGCCTCTTGTTCCATCCACAATATAGCCGATCCCTCCCCCATCACACTCAAAAAATCTATCTTCTCCTTGCTGTAAATCTTCCGACACAATCCTCACTCGAATTCTGCTTTCACAAATTTGGGGCTTGCAGCATTTCATGCGGGATCCTGGTAAGGTTGGTTTCAACTTGGATATAGATTCGATACTAATATCTAGTACTGATAATCAGTTGCAGTAAAAGATTTAAAATTCTGAGAACTATGGATAAATCTTGAAGATTAACAAAAGAAAACAACCACTTTTAGAGGTACAATAAAAAGATTCCCCATAAAATGAGAGGGTTTTCTGACGTAGCCTTTATGTGGGTTGGCGTTGGAATTGAGGTGGGGTTAGGGGTGCCGATTGCATGGTTTTACTTTTACATTTTGTTCAATTTGATACTATTTGATCTGTTTGGGTTTCGGAGATTTATACAGACTTTAATATGTATATGTGAACATGAAGTAATTGATTTGTTCCAAGTCTTGTGATTTCAATGTGGCCTCCCAATCGTAATGGTATTATTGAAGACATCAGAGACTTTTTCCACTACACTTGTGCAAGAGCAACAAACCAGGAAATCATCTTCAATGTTACTCCTATCCCCCATCATAATGAAGCCTTTACCTTTATCCACTTTCAACTCCTAGAATGTGATGTTCTTGAATTTCTGGCCGCAAGAAATAATGCCTTATGCCTTTGTATGTTTTTATGAACGCCCATTTTCTTTAACTTTTATTTCGTTTGTGTCTTCTGTTTAGTATGCTTTGAAGGAAATCTAAAAGCTTAATTTTTTCTTTTTTTACCTTTTTCTGCTCAATAATTTTTTTGCTTTCCTGAATATTCAATTAATTTATTTCTTTTTGGTTTGTGTAGTAGCAGATTTGGATCTTTTAGAATGTAGCATAAATCTGAAAGGGTGATAGACTAATTGGATTTCTGAATAGGGGGAAGGGAAAGTAATATACATTTGATATTCGTTGAAGAGCGTCATCTTATAGGAATGAATTTGAGGAAAGCGAATTTCGACCTTCATTATGATTTAGAACTTGCTCGTTCGAAGGGTAAACTTTCAGATGAGGATATCGATAAACATGTAAAAAAGTTGTTGGATGACAAAGATATGCCAGGAGAATATAAGGACTTTCTGTTGTGTGCTCTAATGAATGAGGGAAGGCTTCTATCACTTAAGGGGAAAGGAGAAAATAATTATAACGATAAGCATTCTACATTTAGGAAAAATCTCTTAAGCATTCTTAAAAAACCATATGATGAAGAGGAGTACAAAAGGCTTCGGCTTGACATCGAAGTCCATAGAGCTCACCACTTGGACCCGCATGTAGTAAAGCTGGATAAATCCTATCTCGATCATTATCCGGGTGAGTTGAAAGATCCTGCCTTTTTTTTGTTTGTAATTGCATTATTTCCTAACTTTTGATGTTGTCAGTTGCCATGACGAGATCATGAATGTTATTTTTGATTCGATAATGAATAGATTTCAAAAAGATTTTCCTTCTTGCGATTAATTAATTGGTCTTTTTCATAACCATTCCACGTGTTTACTAAAATTTTACTCAGATAACAATACCTGCATTAATTTTCCAACGTTATTCCTAAATCATTTGAACTCACAAGTAATTTTGTCTTTTGATAAGTCGTTGACCGAAAGAACAAATCATACAAGTGTAAAATATTAACTTTTTTAGCAATATGCACCTCGAGTTGCTCTGAAATGTAAATTCATAAACCTAAAACTTATTTAGCCCCCGTTTGAGCCATATTTTTTATTCATAAAAATGAAAAATATGACAGTTATCCATCACATCAAAACATCAATTTTGAATTTTTATCTCGTGTGGGGTCAATAACGGCTATATTTTTCATTTTCATTCTACAATAAGGTGGCTTAAACATGGCCTTAATTGTACAAGCAACTCCTATATGAACCTCTTGAGAAAAAAAATGTACAATGCGGTTACCTGCTTTGAATTTGTCACGGCTATAAATCATCTCTACTTCTCTCACTCTTCATATGCACCAAGTTGTCTTCTCCAATGGGTATTGGGTGGTTCTGTTTTAATTCAAAAAACTTCATTCAAGATTTATTATATATAATCTTACTTTATGTAGTTTTTTTTTATGTATTAATTTATGTTGTCTCCTTGGTAACTAATGTGAGATATATATCTTATTGAGTGCAGATCTTAAGGAAAAGCTCTTAAGGTTCCAAGATGACGAACCAAAATGCTTGAATCTCTTGCGTGGATTCTTCTTTTGGCTTCAAGTGAGTCTAATTTGGTTCATTTTCTCTTTTGATAAAGATCATTTAAATCTCGTACAGTGTGAATTAGCCTTCCAATGTCACATTGTGCATGATGTCGTCCATTATTTGTGACTAGTAAGAAAATGAGAGAATTAACTACATTTATGCTTGCTTGCACCACGAGGTTTTTTGTCAAGCTACAGCAAATGTAACGAACATGTTTGGCTAAGCTTAAAGAAAAGTAGCTTTTGTTACTTAATGTGTTTGGATGTGTTACTTTTTTCCCTACTTTTTCTATTTCTCCAATTTCCATTTCTTTTCTGTTTTGTTTCCTTCTCTGCTATGCATATCTTTTTTTATATATATATAAAAAGGAATTAATGCATCAAAAAGTACTAATTGAAAAAGAGATTACAAAAAACTACGATAACTGAATGGAAAATCTTCCAAAATTTCCTTTCCTGTGGCATCTGCATGTTATTTCTTTACGTAAAGATGAACTTTTTGCTTCTTCTCTCTCTTTATGCAAATTAATTCTAATAAAAAAAAACTTGTGCTTCGTGTTGAATTAGTATCTACCGATGGAAGGCTCATTTGAACCATGGAAGGACCCTCTAAGCCTCATGGTGAAACAAGAACGCCGTCCCTCCTGATGCAACAACAAAAGCATTGGATTATTAAGCGAGGTGCAATCGCTCAAAGACAAATGAATAAGAAGCTCGCAAAGATGTGAGGAACTGGGGACGACTAGCTGCTCTACTGCTTCTGCAGCTTATTTTTCTGATTTATTTATCCAGTTTTAAGTACTTTAGTTATGTCTTTATCTGATAGTGGCACAAAATAATTGGGAGGTTAATTATGTCCTTTGTTTGGTTATGGGAGATGTGTCCAATTAAAACATTGGTTTGCAACTATTGTACCTTCTGATTTTCTTTGCGTGGAAATGTTCTCCTGCCCACAGTGGGTAAAATAAGATTGCTCACTTGCTGATGTGGCTGGAGAACCCAACATTGGGTTCTCTCTGAGTGGGTATTATAAGACTTCGCATCGTAGGCAGGAGAACAACTCTGTTTCTTTGCATTCAATAATACGCTTTGGAGGTCTTCTCTCAAATCAAAATTCTACGTCACCGCCTCCTTGGTGGAAAAATGATTTGGGATGGCCGGGGAAGGAGACAAGGTTCCTTGACCTCATCCTGTTCACCATACGGGGCGATGATTCTCCATCCCATTCGGCACGGCAATGCGGGACAGATAATCTTACCATCCATAGGAGTTCTTTCTCTCACTATGTTGGATAGTGCGGATTGGGCTGGGTGCAGGCATGAGTGAATCATGGTCTTTAATTTAGGACGTGTTCGGTAGAGATTAAAATCAGATTAAAATTGAAAAACTAGTCGTTATTGTTGACTTTTATTAGACGAATGAGACTCAATAACAACTATATTTTCAATTTTAATTGGATTTAGAAAAAAGATTCTATTCACTGAATCAGTATAGTGTCTAACTATGCTCGGTTAGAAATTAAGAGTGTGTTCGGTAGAGATTAAAATCAGATTAAAATTGAAAAACTAGTCGTTATTGTTGACTTTTATTAGACGAATGAGACTCAATAACAACTATATTTTCAATTTTAATTGGATTTTAAGTATAGCAAAATATGCTCTTAATGGGCTTAATAATGTGACTAGATTTGGGCTTTGGCTAAAGTCCAATAGATATTGAACCTTGATAGGCCTAATAATGGAAGCGCAAGATCCAAGTAGTGTCTTTAACCAGACAACCAACTGGGGTCAATTTGGACCTATTAAATATTTTTTATGAATTAAAAATACGGAACTACGACGAATCTTTAAAGATACCCTTTCAAACTTGACAAACTTGTGAGATTAATGTTATTTATCATTATAATGATAGAACAACGGTGTTGTGGTAATATATATCCTTCACATCTCTCATAAAAATTGAATTGCACTCTCATATTATTCCGCTTAGATTGTTACATCATGGTTGTTCCATTATTATAATGATAAATAGCATTACTCAACTTATAGATATTTTTCAAAAATTAGGTGTTATTAATTAAATAAGTTATATTAATTAGATATGTTAAGGTTACAATAACATACAACTTATGATCACAGTTACATATTAATCGCAATCACATAATGTTATAACAACAAATCACAAAATTTTTATTTTTTTATAGATAACATACTATCAAATTAATTAGTTATGACTTATTTCTATATCATAAACTTTATAAGTTACAACTTATTTATCGGTGACAAATAATCATATTAATTTATCACAACTTATTTCTCAATCATAAATTATCAAATTAATTAATCACAATTTATATATCGATCACAATTATCGAATTAATTTATCACAATTTATTTCTTGATGACAAATTTTCAAATTAACTGATCATAATTACCGAATTAAATGGTTACAAATTACCCTTCATCTTCCCTACCTCACCCCCACTTCCTCCACCACCATTGGCACCACCCAAACGTCATCACCGCTAAATTTACAATTCGCCACCATCTTCGACACACCATCACCGCCACTTCAATTGCAGAACCACACAGATCAACATCATTCTCACATACACAAATATGCACACATACACACGGATCGATCGCACACTAAACACACACAAATTGCTCATCGTCGCTACATGGAGACAGACTATTGCATTCGAAAGTAGCAACACGAAGCAGATCAATACGTATACACATACACAAAATTGATGGCACACTACAATAAATGGTGCGAGATAAAATTGTATACCATTATTTTAAAACTTTTTTTTTTAATTCATTTTCAATCACATATTCTCACAATAAAATATTTTTATCGTTAATCCAAAAAAAAATTATATTTTTTAATGATACATTCTTAAAAATTTCACTATTTCAAAACTCATTTTCATTGAATAATGACAGATAGACAAGTGCGTTTTGAATAAATAAGTTTTAAACTTAATTTTTTCAGTTGAAAGTCAAAAAATTTCCTCTTTTAAAAATAAACCTTTTAAGTTTCAAGTTTTTAACCCCATTTGAAGAAAAATATTGTCAGTGGGCCTGATTTAGCCCAATATGGCAAACACGTAAATACATTTGGCCCGGACCGTGACGACATTGTTATCCGTGAAAGCGCAACTTTTCGTTTCTTCATTCACTTAGCTGCCGAGAGAGACGTACTCAGAGAGAGAAGGTAATGTATATCCTCTCGCATTCTTGTTTTTCGGTATGTTTCAGTAACACACGCATCGAAAGATTTTATAGTTCTTTTGATTTTGTTTTAGTTTATTTAGGTTATCCGTTTGGTATGCATTGACATGCAATTCGTAATACAATGTGGCGTGAGGGTGAATAAGATGGAAGAACGCAATCAAAACCCGGGTAATTCCTAAGATTTCCGGAATTGATAATCAAGACTAATTGATTCACAAATAGAATGCAGATAACTGATTTTGATCAAAAGATTCTTTAGTCTGAAGAATATCAAATTGGATCTGGAAAAGATTTGGAATAATATCAAAATCTTGTTTCAAATCACCCAATTGGGAAAATTCAAAGATGGAAATAGTCTAAAAATTATAGCAAACCAAATATACTGTTTTTGAACAGAAACTGAACTAAAAAGAATTTCTTTATATACTATACTTTTGGGATGTAATGTATTATAGAATAGTAGATTGATAGAGAATGTGTGGTTAAAAAGTTAGGAAACTCTATTGGATTGTGTGTATAAAATTTTATTGTGTTAATGTGTGGTGGAGAATGATATTGTAGCAAACAATTTAAAATTTTAAAGGATAGCAAACAAGGGCTTATTTTGTGCGTTTTCATATTCAATAACTATTTATTATGTTAGAATTTGGATTAATTCTTTTTTTTTTTCTTTTTTGATTTATTTAGCAGGAGGAGACTTTTTTAAATTGTTATGTACAGCAGAAAGGGTGATAGATAAATTACATTTCACAAGAGCTGGAAAGGGGAAGGAACGTATATTTGATATTTGGTGGAATAATTGGTGAAGAGAATCAATTATGGAAATGGATTATCTGAATTTAGTGAAGTCTGATATCTATTTTGATTTGGAATGTGCTAGGTCCAAGGATAAACAGTTAGATGAGGAATATGAGTTTGTAAAACAGTTGGAGAAGGAAACAGATATGGAACAGTCGTACAAGGACTTGCTATTGTGTCTTCTAACTAAGGAGGTAAGGTTTGTGCCAAATAAGAGGAAAAATGAAAAAGATGATATCTATGAGAATGATGAAGACTGGAGTCATGAGGAGAATGATCCCGAGTATGAGCTTTTCTTGCGCAATCTTGTGAAGCATGAAAAGTCCTATGTTTTTAACCATAAAAAAAATGGTTCATGCCTTTTCATTAGATATGAAGAAGATAGTGATTCAGATGATGACTCTGATCCAGAGTCTCATAGAAAATTAACGGGTCGCAAGCCTCAGAGAAAGCTAAAAAATACTGTCAAGGGAGAGAGAATAGAAGCTATGAGATGTTCAAGTGATTCGATGATGCCAGATTCTGACTATCTTTCTTTTATAAAAAATACTAAAATTGAAGGTAATTATCTTGTATTGCCTCACGAGGGTGGTATGATAGAATATGAGAAGGATGCTGTCAAGGGAGAGAGAATAGAAGCTATGAGATGCTCAAGTGATTCGATGATGCCAGATTCTGACCATCTTTCTTTTATAAAAAATACTAAAATTGAAGGTAATTATCTTGTATTGCCTCACGAGGGTGGTATGATAGAATATGAGAAGGATGCTGTCAAGGGAGAGAGAATAGAAGCTATGAGATGCTCAAGTGATTCGATGATGCCAGATTCTGACCATCTTTCTTTTATAAAAAATACTAAAATTGAAGGTAATTATCTTGTATTGCCTCACGAGGGTGGTATGATAGTATATGAGAAGGATGCTGTCAAGGGAGAGAGAATAGAAGCTATGAGATGCTCAAGTGATTCGATGATGCCAGATTCTGACCATCTTTCTTTTATAAAAAATACTAAAATTGAAGGTAATTATCTTGTATTGCCTCACGAGGGTGGTATGATAGTATATGAGAAGGATGCTGTCAAGGGAGAGAGAATAGAAGCTATGAGATGCTCAAGTGATTCGATGATGCCAGATTCTGACCATCTTTCTTTTATAAAAAATACTAAAATTGAAGGTAATTATCTTGTATTGCCTCACGAGGGTGGTATGATAGTATATGAGAAGGATGCTGTCAAGGGAGAGAGAATAGAAGCTATGAGATGCTCAAGTGATTCGATGATGCCAGATTCTGACCATCTTTCTTTTATAAAAAATACTAAAATTGAAGGTAATTATCTTGTATTGCCTCACGAGGGTGGTATGATAGTATATGAGAAGGATGGTGTTGTGATTAGCCCACAAAAGGGGGATAATGATGACAGTGCTGATCTGAAAATTCTAGATATTGCTCGCGAGGATGAATCCGAAAATTTTATGTTTGTACGTTAACATTCATCTATCACTATGTTGTGGTCCCCCCTCCCATCCCGTGCTCTCTTTTTTGTCTCTAAATTTGAATTGAAGTACTACTATTATTCATGTTGAATGATCTTTCTTGTGCAGATAGAGGAGGACAGTTCAAAAATGCACCGTGACTTCAGGAGAGAACTCATGTGTATTTTTCGAAAAGAATATGATAGAGAGGAGTACAAGCAGCTTTGGCAGGACGTCGAAGTCCGTAAGGCAGCACTTCGCCATAGGGAGTTGCGTAACGGGAGGGAAAATGCATACTCAACAGATAAAGCTGGAAAATCGTATCTTGATCTCTATCCTGGTAGGTTGAAGACCCTGCGTTTCTTGTTTGAAATTGCAGTATCTTATAACATTTGACATTGTAGGATGTCATGATATGCAATGGTATTTATTACTGTGAAATTTGAGCTAGCCTCTAATGTTCCTGAATATCATGGCAATTCCAATCATATGCTAAAATTTCACTTAGATATTAGTTGAAAAACATTATTCCTTAATCACCTGTGCTTTTATTGTTTCTCATTTTGTCTGATGCTGTTGGCACAAAGAATTGTGTATCACACTCTTCCCAAATTAATTGTTTTGGTTACTTGTGAGATATTTCATGTAAAGGCTTGAGATAATCTATTTCTACCCTCTTGTTAAGCAAGTTCGCTCTACCTCTCTCCCCCATAAACATTATGCTGATTCCCCCAGCACAAAATAATAGCTCCAAGACACATCCACCTACCACAATCTGTACACTGCACCTAACGCAATCACCCTCCCTATCTCCCCTTTAGGATTTTGAATATAATAATAGCCGCAGATTAACCTGCTAAATTTGTATGAATGCTTGTCCTGCAATGTGCACCTCGGATTGGCTTGAAATTCAAATTCACAAACCTAAAACTTACTCTAATTGTTTGAGCAACTCCGAAATGAACCTATTAGAAAAGAAATTTAGAAATCAAGGGAAAAGTAACTGCACTAAATTTTTGAGGGCAATTGATCACCTATATTTCTCTCATCTTCGTATACATAAAATCTCAGTTAAATCTTCTTTTTTAATTGAAAAGCTTATTCCAAGTTTACTCTCTTCCTCTCACTTTATTTAGTATTATTACTCCAATAGTTCAGGTTTTTCTCTAGGGTAACACTAATTTGAGATGTAATATCTTATTGTGTGCAGATCTTAAGGAAGCACTCTTAAGATGCCAAGATGACAAACCAAGATGCTTGAACCTCTTGCGTGGATTCTTCTTTTGGCTTCAAGTGAGTGGAACTATATACATTTTATCTTTTGAATATATTATGCATCGAAAATTACTGTATGCAAAGAGATTACAGACAATGGAGATAACTAAATAGAAAATCTTTCCAAGATGGAGAGTTTGTTACGTTCATGGAAACAATATCGTGCATCCGATAATCCCTTTTACATAAATACGAACTTATGTTCTTCATTGATAGTTTTACTTGTGAGTTAATTTGCAACTGAATAACTTGTGTTTCATGTTGAATCAGTGTCTAACTAGGGAAGGAGCATTCAAGCCATGGAAGGACCCACAATGCCTCGCAGTGGAGCCAATATGTTGCCCCCCCTCCTGGTCCTGAGCAAAAACTCAAACAAGCAACGAAGTGATATATGGAAAGAAACTTGCGCTTGTGGAGGGAATGTATTTTCTTAAATCTCGGTTTACGTAGGATCTATGATATTTTCAATAGAGTAGCAGTTTCTTAAAATACTAGGACTGTGGCCTAGTTTTGTTAATATCTTGGATAATCTTATTGTGTATATTAACAATCTAGTTCTCTGGGACATAAATATGAATTTGTTGGCTTTCTTGCTATGTTGCATACTGCTTTCTAGGTTCACTTGATTTGTAGGTGTAGCAGTGAAAATAATTTAAGCTTGTGAAGGGACATGTACACACCCCAAGGATAGAGAAAGATAAAAACAAATGCTTTGAGCTTCTTGTTCTGGTGTTCCCCGATCATCTTACCTCTATTCGTTATTGTAAATCTTCGATTGATCCATCGTTGTAGTTAAATCCAATGCGCGGTTTTCCCATGCTAAAGTTCAACATCCTTGCATTCATGTTGTATTGAATTTCATCTTCATAAAGCAGCTTCCTGATGCAGTGTTCTATGTCAGAACCAATCAATCGAATTGTATATTCAGTCAATGGTGCTCCCTGGTACAATTACAACATCAATATGTTGCTCACGGGTTATCTTTTTTCTTAGCACAGAAATGGACACCGTGTGGCAGTAGTTTGCTCCGCTAGACTATCTTCCGCATTTTCTCGGTCGTTTCGGGACGAAAGTAAATTTGATCACAATTTAAAGAAAGCTTACAACATGAAATTGAAATGCATTGAAATAAATTTGATCATTGATTGCTTGAAAGCTGAACATTACAATAGATGAAAGTAGGAAATTACAATGGCTAGTGCGATGGGCGAACACTAGAAAGCTTGAAAGATGTTTGAAAGACTAATACCCCTATAATAGACTTAGCAACAAAAACCCATTTGACGGGAGTAGATGTTTAAAGTCTCTAGAATCATACTAAAATTTTCTAATTTCCAATTATTTTACAATTGAATTGAAATATTTACAATGTGCGGGTCAAGGGGCCTAGTTGAGGCTGCATTCCTTGACACCAAAGATAGAGAGATAAAAACAAATGCTTTGAGCTTCTTATTCTGGTGTTCCCTGATCATCTTACCTCTATTCGTTATTGTACATCTTCGCTTGCGCCATCGTTGTAGTTAAATCCAATGCGCGGTTTTCCCATGCTAAAGTTCAACATCCTAGCATTCATGTTGTATTGAATTTCATCTTCATAAAGCAGCTTCCTGATGTAGTGTTCTATGTCAGAACCAATCAATCGAAGTGTATATTCAGTCAATGGTGCTCCCTGGTTCCATTACAACATCAATATGTGGCTATCAATAGTTCCATTACTACGGCGAATACTAATGTTATGATAGAAGTTAGTTTTATACCTCATAATGATCCACAAGTTCTTGGAAATAGGAGTAAACTTTGTTGCAGGTTTCATCCGTCCACACAAACTCATCAGTAGGGTCAAGGATAAGAGTGAGTTTATCCATTTGTGTTTGGTCAAATTCGCAAGTTTCAGGGTCGATATAGGCTGCATAAATCCTAACATGTCTAGTGGCGCTGCTAAGCCACTGTCCACCATATTCTCTGCCCATATTTTTGCTCTTCACATTCACCTGTGGTTCGACTGGCCTTAAGGGTGTCGTTTCTTGCTGTTTCGTGTCCTTTTCTTGTGTTGCTTCCTTGGTTTTCACTTGTTCTTCGACTTCTGCTTGCTGGTATGAAACAGAAAATACACTTGTTTTTCTCAGTTCCCTTTTACTACCTCTCCATCCCAGCACGGAGAAGTTTGTTGAAGCCATATAGGTTGAAGTTGCTGCCATGGCTTGTTGATGATGCTATTGTTGCCTCAGAATTCTGCACTTTATGGGTTTCCAAAGCTTGGATGAATGAATGAAAGGCTGACGTTCCACATCCTCAAATAATTGTTGATAAGAACTTATTTTTGAACACTTCACCCCCACATTGTGACTGTTTGGCTGTTTTTCCTTTTTTTGCAACTGTGGTGCTGCTTCTTGTGTGGTATTTGGCTTACTCAAAAGAATACAAGAAAATTGTCCTCATACAGCACTTTTATATTATTTATTTGTAGGTTTAAGTAAAAAATAAATACTAAAAAACTAATACTTTTTTTAAAGTGACTCGAAGTCACGGTCATATAAATAGTTTGCTCATTTTTAACTTTGACAACTGAAATGTTATTTGTTTTCAAATTTATATTAGTGTAATTGGATACTAATTAAATGGATCTATGCTAGCAATGTGAAATCCATCCAAGCATTCCAATCATTTAGAAAGTAAAACTTCAAAATTTAAATTTGCTCAACTTATTCTTACAATTTTTAAGTAAAACAATGTTTGCCTAAACCTATGACCTATTAATATATATTGATGTAAGAAACATAAATCACAACAAAACAAGCGATGGCAAACAGTTACTATACAGAATCATTGCCTCGTTTACAGCACGTTTCTGCTGTCAATATCCTGGGACGAACTTTCGACTTAAATTCATGATATTGATAGGCTTTACTAGATCATCAAGATCAATCACCTCTGCCTCCAAAGGGCTATCATCCCGTTTGCTTGATGGGCCAATACTATGTTTCACTTCCTCGTCGTTAATGTCTATGCTAATATAGTCGTCAAGTTTTTCTTCTTGACAAACTATGTAATCATTATCTTTTGTGGAGAGCCTCTCAACTATAGCTGTTCGGCTTTCAGCAAAATCAAATGGCCCAGAATCGAAGTATCGTCCTCGGACATTCTTCTGCTCAGACGAAGATTTCCTCTTGATTCCCCTCTTCCTTTTAGGATGGTGAAGCTTGCACTTGGAACCTTCGGGACAAACACCCGTTGCTTCAAAAGCAGGACAGATGTAGGTGTGTTTCTTCCGGCACTGCAAGTACAGGGATATGATCCATTCACCAGATTTAAGATTAGTGGTAGTGTGCATTTGGAGTGTCGACAATTATAAACCAGACAACTGTATTTACTAGTGTCACTTCAGGGAAAAAGGAAATTAGTGATGTGATGTGCACTTCTAAAGTCTAGGCAAGTGCAGAGATATGATCTTGGTGTTTGGCATGCAGGTACTTAGATAATGAACAAGGTTTTAGTTTTGTTTTTCCTTCTTTAATATCCTCGACTGTTACCAATCCTCCTTACCAAACACATCAGTGCGCAAGTGATAAGATTGTGTCCGAGTGCATTTAGGCAATGATTAAAATCAAATATCAGAAACTGTGAGACACTATCAAGGATTTCAACCACCCACCCACACCCCCCCAACTTTACCCATTTCAATGCTCCACAGCAGGTCAAAGATCTAAAAGAGAAATTACAGGCAAAAACAAGCAGTACCTCATTGCCATCAGCACAATAGCCTTTGAGAAAACTTTCACAAATAGAGGAATTAGGATTCACATTTACATGCCTATAAGGACAATTTTCATTAGAGCATAACCCTGTCAAAAAACTAAGTTAGCCTTCTAACCATTGAGAACTAATTCGACAAAGCAATAAAAAACCACACACCTTGCAGAAAATAAGAACAATCCTGCATCCTCTCCGGAATGACCTGTATGACATATGGATTAAAGAAAAAATGCAAAAGAGGCGTAAAAAAACTTCTTAATGAGTGTCATACAGAATAGGAATCACATCATACCTTGTGTGTCAATTTGCATTCACGATTCAAGCATGAGCCCTTAAGAAATTTCGTGCAAACTACAATTTTTGAGGGGTCATGAATGTAAGGACACTTCCCATCATCTTTGCTGCACTTACCAAATCTCGTAAAAAACTGGCAGTATTTTCTCTTTCTGGTCAATCGCAATCTGGCAGTGTGCAAACTCCAGCGAACTTTCTCGCTCGCAAGGATACGAGTTCGTTTCTTGGGGTCTCTAACCAGCTGGTTGCCATTTCCAATTCGCACATATCTACGCAGTTCGAGGCACGTATCATAAACCAGTTTCTTAAAGACAAGTAAGCTCATCTCTTATTAGTTTTCAATTTTCCAGAATTGAGTTCCAATGAGAATTCTAACTGTTAATTAACTCTTCAGCTCAACTTATATTGATATTGAAGATAACTTACTCCTCGTTGCCAATTAACAATCTCCTGGGAACATAAGAAGTCTTAATTTTCTTTCCAGATTCGAGAGCAACTGAGTTTGATTGTTTTTCATCTGCTCCATAAAACATGATCAAAGAATTAATAGAACTGAAGCGACAACGGTTCATAAATTTCAGATATCTCATTACATGCTCAGCAATGAAGCTCTAAAATCAAGCCTTGCACGGAGCACTCCTAAGTTGTATATTGTACTTATCTAGCTCGTTCGCACCCCCCCCCCACCCCAACGATACCTGCCTATTGGTGTTTGCATGCAATCCTATTTGCCTTAAAATGAAAACATTCCCCTAATGGATCAAAGATTAGTGTTCCCAAACCCATCGGTGTATTTCGAGGTACCTAGCCAATTACTCTGCAGACATTCGCCCTAGTCACTTTCAAAACTTTTCTATGCCACTCCCTTAAGAAAAACCACATGTATTGCCACATAGCATGGGCTGCATGGCATTCAATTGCCTGAATGTCTTCCACCTTGAGGCATGAACTAGTTTAGGCAATGAAATAATATAAAAATATCCAAGCGAGATGGGAGATGTGCCCATTTTCCATTGGAGATTTTTCTTATCCAAGGACCAAAGACAAAATGGTTGTAAGTGATCAACTCTTGAATCTAGCAACGACCGAAATAACCGAACAGAGTGTTGAAGAAGTACTCACGTAGCCAACTCCAAAAAAATAAATGACAGTTCTAGAATTGACAAAAAAAAGTATAATAATACAAAAGCTTCAGCCACCGAATGGTGAATATTCTCAGTTGATAAATTCAAGCAACGCCATATTTAATCCAAGCATTCAATAAATAGCAACAAACAAATTTTATGCAACAAATTGGGTGAATTATACTAATAAAACTAAATAAAAGATAAAATAGGAAGTAGACAACGTGAAGGTAACACCAAATCAGAAAAATAGTGAAAATGGATGAAATCTAAAATGCTATTTAAATAGTGATGTTGAATATTAGATGACATGGACAGTGAGTTAGAAAGAAAAATTGGAACGGACCACCAGTAATCCTCTGAAGTGTTTTCCTTGTCGAATCCATTTTGTAACGCTCCGGCCCAATATGAAATATCCGCTCTCCTATTATTTGAATACAGATTAAATTTGTTATATACTCTCTAATGCAGAATATATGCTGGTCAATCTTAATTAACAAATAGATATACAGTCATTTTATTCTAAAATGTAGAAATGTAACTTAATTGGATAAGAGAATGCCAGACCAGGATTGCAGACTGGCGTACCTGGACGCAGCTTTACACTAAGAACTGACTTACGCGAAACATGATTTTTGTTCTTTAAAACAATGGGAAGTGCAACAGATTGTTCTTTCTTCTGCTTCTCTACTGCAGCAACTGCTCGTGTAGCTTCCTGTAGAGGCATAAATATTATCATTGCTTGCATAATTTGGGATTTTCTACTAGTAAATATTGAAGTTCTCAGTCCATGAGCAATTATGCTCTGCAAACCTCATTAACTTTCTTAGAGTTTCTCTCAATTGACTTTGACCATTTCAAACTAGAGCCACCGACACTCAACATCTTAGAAATCCTAAGAGAAAATCCACGAGTTGATCTTGTATAGATTGCACCTCTCTTCCTTGAGAGCAACAGCTTCCTGCTATACCGGCCAAAAGGAAAAAAACATTGTCATGTACACCATTAGTTCTCCCCGAAAAGAAACATAAATAATAAATTCTGAAGCATCAGAAAAAGGGAGATGAAAAGAGCTGATTGCATACCTGATCATGGATAGGGAACTATTATTTGGTGCTGAACTTGAATTATATGCAAAATTTCTCCAGTAAGTAGCTCTTTTCCATGGAAATAGGTATGGCCGTACTTTCTGAAATCGTACTGAATTGTTATCTTTTCGTGATAACTGTGTATCACACAATTTCCATACCAATGATAACTTAGAAGCTTTGAGCGTCTTTGCAAAACCTGAAAATTTTAATCGAGTTATATCTTGTCAACATAGTGATCACAACAAAATTTACAATACAATACTACATATAACCCAAGAGAGAAAATAAAGATTTTACTACTCGAGGACAGGATTCAAGGACAAGAATGAAGAAATGCAGTTACTTACAAAATAGAAGGTATTGATACAATAAGAAAACTGGAAACAAAATCATGCAGCATCAGACAGCAACAAGTATATCGTGATGTATATAATAAGAGAGTGGGATACATGACCCCACCAAAATCGATGATAACATGCCTATGGGTTCTAAGAATAACTCCAGTATCTCCTTCTCCTCTGGACGTTCATTTCACAAGCCAACCTCAGGTCCAAAGCTTCTACATCAAAAGGTCATCTGTGCCCATTTTCCTAGAAGCTGTGTGGCAAATTATATGGAGAAATTGGACTGCTCGAGCGTCAGAAGCCATTTGATGAGAACTTAAAGGTTTACAAGCTATTGTGAATATGAACTCTTTCGGCTTATCAATGTTAGAGACTGGGTCAAAAGGAATGCAGGGGGAACTTTAAGAGAAAAATGAGGATACGAGGAGCTGGAACAAAATAGACAAAAGGTGGTTTGGGAGAAGATGGCAACATTTGTTCACAGCTAGTCCACTCCATACCTCTCAAGCAGCAAAAATAACTGAACTCAACTAAGAAATGTCTCTTTTATTATGGTTGTTTGCGTGTTCTTTGTAGGTATTTCTAAGACATT